TAGCATCACCCACCGTGCTGCAAGCGTCGGTTTGTCAGCGAAAGCACAGAAAGGCTTGATCCTACTGAAATCAAACCCCTCCCCTTCCTTTGGGTGAAGGGGAACATAAAAGATCAGAATGTGCATCACAGATTTCATAACCTTTGATGTCGCAGTGTGTGGTTCAGTAGCACAGTGGGTTAAGCCAGTGTCGGGTGTTTGCCAGGGCTGTGGGATCAAAAACTCAGCTCACTGGTACCATGAGTTGTTGGGTCTCTGAACAGCCGTGCAGTGCTGCAAGGCACCGTCTGGCTCTGTGCTTCAGCGAGAGGGGGCAGGGCTGGGACTGATGTGGGGACAAGGAACAGCGAGCCCTGGACTGAAGGAGCGGGATGTGCTGGGTCAGTGTGATGATGGAGCCGGGGGATGGGAGCAGCAGGAGACCGAGCGCTCCGGTGGAACTGCCCTGGAGACCAGCTCGGGGCATACGGGCTGGGATAAACGCATCCCTCGTCAAGGGCAATGACGTTTGTCAGCTTGCTTGGAATAAGAGTGACTCTTAGAAAGGACAGGGTGGCCGTGACACTTGCACACAGTGAAAGGAATCCCTGGGTGCTGGGGGAGGACAATCATCTCGTAGCATCACCCTCCGGGATTCATCAGTTCCCTGCTTTGTTGTCGCTGAAAACAGAGTCACAGGGCCAGGTCACTGCAGCTCAGCCCCAGCTTTATAGGATAAAACTGCTTATGGCTCCCCCAGTTGTCCTTTTATAGAGATTATAAACTCTCTGGGGCTCGTCCAGGTAAGCTCCCCAGGTGAGGGCATCAAAGCTCAACATCTGCTTGGTTATTGCTGAGCTTTTTTCCAAACAGGCGAAGGAAGAGTAAACGAACACCAGCAAACAGCCCGCAGTCAGGCTGGCCATGCTATGTTCTCCCATCCATACATCCCATCTTAACCGATTATTAAATCATATTTGCTGATAAGTATGAGATGTAATATCTATTACACAGCTGTTAAACCTCAATTAATATGCTTTAATGATCAGTTGCTTACTGTGCAATATACAATTAACATCCGATATTAAATCTTAAATTAAATGCATGTTTGAGAAGCTAAATTTGAAGCACTGAACATACCCGTGCTGCAGTAAACACCAATAATTGCGTTGCATAGACGGTATTTCTGTGTGGGGGTTAAACCAACACTCCTGGCATCAGAGAAGAATGGAAAAGAATTGCTAAAGTAGCTGGGTTCTACTTTTTTAGTGTATTTTGATCCCTATGGAGGGTTTTAGTCATCTCCCTTGAAAAAAAGCACCCTGATGCATAGCTGCTGCACTCCGTGCGTGAAGGCTGAGCTGGCAGGCACTCACGAGGGGTATGGGCTCAGAGGAGTCTCTTCTTGGCACGGGCTGGTCTGGAGCGTGGGGCAATCGGTTGTGCTTCAGGCTGGTTGTGCTGTGCTGAGTCCCAGGGGCTGTGCCAGGGGGTGCAGGGGTGCAGCGAGGAGCTGAGACTGAAACCTTCAATCCAAGCTAAGGCTCATGTGCCTCCTGGAAGAGAAGCCCTCGCTGCGCTGTGGGTTTGGGGCCGTGCAGGGAAGCCCACTCTGCTGTCGGTGTTCTCCAGGCAGCCGACGGTGGCTGTGGAGAGCAGCGTGTGTGGGCAATGCCCTGCAAAATGCACGGGCGTTAGAGGGGCTCACGGGTGGCTTTTGCAGCTTGGAGAATATGTAAAACTTGGATTTGAGGAGGATTTTTTTCTTAATTCACATGAAAGGTGGGGTCCAAAGGGCACCCTCCAGTCCCTGGCACCACTGCTGTGTTTGCTTGGAGAGATGAGCCAGTCTCATCCGCTGGGACGCGGAAGGACCCAGCCTGTTCTCAGCACGTTGCTGCCCTGTTAATACAGGCTTTGCCTTTCCCGTGAAAAATGTGATTGAGCAAAAGATGAAGAGAAATCTTACTCTCCTCCTTTTCTTTCCTTGCGTTCGGAGGAGCAAATGAAGATTGATATGTTTTTCTTCTAGCCTTTCGGTTTAAATATGCAGTGATGCACCTTATGAGGAAATGAAGCCTTCACCCCCATCTTTTCTCCAAGGACCCCGTCTCTCACCCCATCACTTTGCTCTAGCAGATGTAACCTGTGCCCAGGTTTGGAGACGGGGTGGTGCTGCTCTCGCAACCCGCAGGCAGCCTGCAAACTAAGGACATGTGTGGGAGCTGGCTGTCACCCAGGCAGCCCCCTCTTTCCTCATTTTCTATTCACCGTCTGCGCTCCGAAGCCTCCTGTGAGGTTTGTTGGGTTTCTTTTGAGGGAAACTTTCTGCCCTTCTTTGAAGGGTTTGATTTTGATTCTAACTTTTACTTTTTCCTGGCAAATCAGTGCTTTCTCCTCCTTTTGGAAATGGAAAGTAAAACACACGCAGTTCCGATTAACACTCTGAATTGCGTGGGGTCTCCCTCCCAAGTCTCCAGATCTTGTTTGGAGTTGATGAGGGTGATCCAAAGGTTTTGTGCTGGGATTTGGCACAACTCTTAATGATTCAGTTTGCTGAGGAGGGTCAGCTGTGGATTTTTCCAAAGGGGAGGAGGGGGCAATTAGATTCAATGTTTGGGAAAGAACCTAATTTGGAAGAGGACAGACTGATGTTTGGGTGGTGCACTGTCATAAATGTTGGTGGGGGAAAACATCCCATTTAATGAGATACCCAAATGTGTGATCCAGTCCTGACTAGGTGGGTGCTGAGGTTGGAGTGGGTGGGGGAAAGATGGTGATTTCCTTTGGGATGCAAATGTCAGGCAGTGATTAATTAGACCACTCCTAGGATATTTTTCAAGGGGGAGTGGATGCAAGTGCTCCTGGCTGTGAGCTTTGGCTGTCCCTGCTCAGTGCCAGGAGGGGACCCCAGGATGTGCTGTTCCCTCTGGGATCTGCTTCCCACAGGTAAAAACTTGCATTTAAGGAAATATCCTGCCTCTCTTCTTGGGTGGCCTAGGCAGGGGTTAAAGAAGTGTCCTTCACATAACAGCGAGCTGGGTTTCTGCTGAAGCCATGGTCCGGAGGGGAGGTGGAAAGGGCACAGCCAGCAGTGCAAGCCGATCCTCTCCGGAGACCAGATGCCTTTAAGCAGCACGGAACAGAGGAAATCTGATTCGTGTGTTGATGGAGCTGCCTTGGTCATCTGAACCGGGCTAGGCAGAGGGATGGGAGTGGGCAGGAAGGTGCTGAGCTGGTGTGGCAAACACACCTTTAGCCTGGCCGAGGCTCCTCACCCTGACACGCAGGCCCTTCGTCTCCTCTTCCTCACAGGGATGAAGGTGCAGGAGGTTGGGATGGGGCCCATGGGCAAGGGCAGGCTGGCATCTCAGGCCAGATTTATCGCAGCAGCTTCTGGAGCTCGCTCTTAGCCTGCAACTTAGCCACACGTGCGCAAAATGGGCCCAAAGTGGATACGGGTGTGTGCGTGTGTTTTTTGCTGCTTTTATCTCCTCACAGCTGAATCTTCTGACCTCTCCACCTTTCAAAAATCTTCTAAGCTATCTTTAGGGGTATTTTGCATCCAGGATCTGTCACTTCTGCAGTTTAAGCCGCTCTCTGCTCCTGTCCCTGTTGCCTCCCAGAGAGGATACTCCTGCTTTGAGACATGCTGCTTGGGAGAAGGATGCTCAGGGAAACATCTCCCTTCAGAGAAGCAGGCAGACTGCACTGTCCTATGTGTGTGCTATAGAAACATCTTTATTTCTTATTACTCGATGTTTTTCCCCCTTCTGTTCTCCTTTCTTCTGTCCCTTTCTAGTTTCTTTCCCACATTTTTCTTGGTTTTCATCATCTGCCTGGCCATCTGTGCCTCCCTGCTCCCTTTCCTCAGATCTTCTCCAAAGCAGAATAATGTTTCAGTAACCTTTCGGATTTTGTTTCCAAGCCCTGTGCCTTTCCTGCAGGTACAGGCTGGAACACAGTGCTTCAGACAGGGTTTGGAATGAAGTCTCTAACACATATGAAACCTAGAGAAGTTCTTCCAGCTGCCCTCCCGGCTTCAGAACAGCTCTGGTTTAGGACAGATACATGAAGGTGACTTTCACGGTCATCTATCTTAGGCACTAACTTGCATTGTACGTCACCACAGGATCGAATTATCCTAGTCTTTCAATGTACTCATTCTTGTCAGAGCACTGTGGGATGTACTGGTTGTTCCTTTAATGTCTTGTAGATAGAGAACGGACACAGGCAGGGGAGAAATAAATGCCCTAGCTATTTGCTGCCCATTCTCCTAAAAGCTGCTTACTGGCGGAGCAGATCTGAAGTTGCTCGGCTGGTGTTCCACACACTCAGTAAATTATCCATTGCTGGAAACAACCACCTTCCACAGGTTTCCTTTAGCATGTGTGAGCCTTCTCCCTGCTTTTTTTTGTCTTTGAGATCACCCCAGTAGTAGAAACACCAAGTGATGGAAGCACGGGAGCCTGTTCAGCAGAGGAAGCGAAGCCTCTGCCCTGAGCTCTTCCCCAGGCTGTTAGCAGCCCGAGATGAATGAGCGTGTAGCTCCTCACGTGTCACCTTCTGGGGGATGCTGCTCTTTTTCCTTTGCATTGGTGGCAGCAGGTGAATGGAGCAAGACTTGGAGAACAGGCAGTAAATTATTTGGCACTCGGTGAGGGAGCTGTGATTAAGATGCAAGAGGAAGGCTCACGGCAGTACTGCCCAGAGCAGCAACGGCAGATCCTCCATGCTGGCCCAGCTGCCACAGGTCCATGTGTGTGTGGCAGGGTCGGTGCTGACCCCTTGCAGATGTCTGAAGTTGTACTAGATGAAAGAAAAGTGCTGAGAATTCACTTGTAAAATATCTATTTCTCACAAACCCTCCCCATGGATGGAGGCTCCTCTCTGCCTGCTCTCCCTCGTTCCCAAAGCAGTTCTGCCTTTGGAACTTTAACTTTGAGACACTTGTTTTACACCTTCACTGTGTATCGCTGTAATGACCCACTCCCAAAATGCTGGTGTCACTGAGAGTTGTCATGGAAACTTGTGTAGGGACCTCACTCGGCTTTCAGTGAGGTCAGTTAATAAGTCCCATCCACTAATTTAGATGTGTGATTTTTTTTTTTTTTTTTTTTTTTAAATTAACTTCATCTTTGGAAAGAGAAGTGGGTGTAAGGGGGGAGCAAGGGCAAAGAAGCCCTTTGCCAGCTGCCATGGGTACCACGAGGCTTCTGGGCCAGTGCTGCCGGCTGCCTTGCCCAGCCCGCCAGTGACACTGTTAATAGTGTGTTTTCCAACTGAGGACCAAGCTGAGCAGCCCTGCAGCATGTTTGGGTAGGCTGGGGGTGCACACGGCTGCTCCTGCATTAGGTCTCCAAGCCTTCATTTACCTCAATTGCAAGTTCTTCATGGCTGGGGCTCTTGGCCTTGGGGTGGCACCATGGGGTCCCGCCTGAGGCATGGAGACCCTCAGGCAGGGTTTGCATGGCTATTAAAGAAAGCAGGCATGGAATAAATATTGCATTTTTACCTCTGTCTGATACTGCTGGTGGGGTGCTGGGCTGACACTGTGTCCTGACCCTGTGTTCTTCCTCCCCTCCCCAGAAAATGAGTTTCGGGGTGAGCTACTGAATCAGAGGTGGACCTGTGGAGAGAAGATCAGCAGCTGCAAGGGAGCCGCCAGCCTGCACGGCACACGCATCAAGGTGAGCAGAAAGCCCTCGGTCCTCCACAAACCTGTACTTTGTCAGTGTAGTGACCCCAGCCCCACGCACTGGCCACAGGACGAAGGCCACGTGCTGCTCCAGGCCTTATGGACCAGGTGGTCCTGGCGGAATGGAGCCTTTCCGGTACCCAGAGTGATGGGCAGGGCCTGGCATTCTGTTTCCTTGCTACAGCCAAACCTCCTGCATGGTGAATCCGGGCAGAGAGGGCTTCCAGCTGTCAAGATTTGGCTTTGAGTCCAGATATTTAAATTCTTGCCTTCCTCTCCGGTCCCATCCTTCAAGGGTGCTCAGATCTGGATATTTAGGTCAGTCCCAGGACTGTTTAAAATAGGCCCTTTCTCCAAGGCGCCGGCTGGTCGGAAGAAGCCCCTCGTACGCCAGGTGAAGCTGGGATGTCTTCGGAGGGGACAAGCGAGGCATTCATCCCCACCGGGACCCCCAGGCAGCTCCTGGGGCTCAACAGAGCCACTCATTTACTGCTGCAGCTGTGGCTCATGAAAGAGGTCCAGCCACGCTGTCAAACCTCCTGGCAGATTCACTGCCAGCCGATTAGGAAGCTTTAATTAAGCATAGAACTGAGATGCTCATTACACAAATGGCACTTCCTGTCCCATTTTTGCCTCTCCAGAGTGAGGCATGGTCTCAGATGGGTGGCTGGCCCCACCGGGGTGGTGGAGGAAGACTTCATCGGGTGACTGATGTGACCGACCCTTCCTGTATCCCCAAATAAACCAAGCCCTGGGAAAGCCCCAAAGCAGCAAAAGAACACCCTTAAAACTCATCTTTCTTCACTAACAAGCTGTCAGCTGCAAGCAGGTGTTGCCAGGAAAGCTCACACCTTCTTAGAAAGCAGAGTAAGCAGTTGTTGCTATATTTAAAACGAGCTCAATTAAGGCTTTTCTATTGAACTTGCCAAATAAGCACTTAGATTAGATTTAATAAGATTGTTGTATGTTAATAAAGCGATGATTACAAAAGGTAATACTCCCAGTACCTGGCGCTTATCTAGCGCTCTGACTCTGCCAGGCACATTGCTAATATTAACTGTTTCTTGCAACCCCCAGCTCTGCTTATCTGTGCCTTAACAGAGTGGTCTGGTGGCAAGAGGAGGAGGGAGGCGGCATCTGAGGTGGGAGCAGGATTTGGGGAGCTGTGGATTTTGGAGGTGGCAGTGGCTGGTTCTGTAAAGCTTGGTCGGTGGAGAGTCACAGCATGGGATGTTGAGGGTGTGGAAGGGCCGGATCCTGCGCATCTCTGGCTGCAAGGCTGAGCCTGAGGTATGTGAGTGAGCAATAGATGAATTCTTGTCCTTTGTTGTAAAAGGCAAATTAACCTGGAATAGGAAGGGAGAGGAGGAAGCTGGCTTTACTAAGGCTGTCGCCTGCTCTCTATGAGCAGTTTTCCCCAAGTGTTACTTTCAATCCATTTAGGCAAATTTAAAAATTACTTTTCTGCATATCGGTGCAGTAGCATATTTATTTTCTGCTATGTTTTCCTAAAATCCAGGTAGAACTTAGGATAGTTTAGGCCTGTATATTGTGTGTGTGTGGGTCCAGCCCTCTTATCTCAGAAAGGGGTGTCAATCCCTCTCCAACCTTCACGTCTGCACCACGTGCACACGCGGGCACTTGCATGTGTGCTCGCAAATACATATTGTACTTAAATATGGTTTTCCACGCCAGTTACGGCTCATAATCCACAGGACACGCAGCGGTGAAGGACAATGGGATGTGGGGCACGTTTACTTATTTATTTTTGCCTCTAAAGAAGTCCAGGCGCAGGATAAGATTTCACGTGACAGGTCTGAAATGAGATCTCAGTGTTGTGGAGAGGTGCTCTCTGCTCCGAGCCAGCTGAGACCGTCCGGATGGATGCTCCTGCTTGTGCTTGTCCTGGACCACGGTGGCCGAGGGAGAAATGAATCTTTCTTTCCCAAATCTTCTCTATTCCCCTGTGCCGTGGTGATGTAGTTGAGGTTTCTGGCTGCTGTTAGGACAGGTAGGGCTGATGTTGATGGGGTTACTGGAGCCCATCCCCTGCCCCAAGTGCTGGCTGCCACACATGTGCACATAGCTCACTTCAGCAGTCACCTCGCATTTCGCCTCTCAAGGATAATCTTTTGAAAAAGGCAGCTTATTACTGGGCTTGAAAACAAAGAGGTTGAAGAACTGAGATATTTCTTTCCCTCCCCTGCCCCTCCTCTTCTGTCATAAGAGCTGTTTGCATCTACGGGGCCACTTGGGTCTCCCAGCATGTGAAACGGTGTTTGGGTTGCACGTTGCAGCACTTTCAAACAGTCAAGAGGAAAGTGTATGTCAGCTTAAGACTACCGCATATGAAATCACCCCCCCAGCCTAGCGCCAGGATGTCAGCGCTGCAGAGGCTCACGGTACCACCACGGGATGCTCGGGAGTGTCGTTGCTAGTCCCCTTCACTTGGGTGCGGGATGCCTCTACTGCCCCAGAGCCTTAGCGCTCAGTAAGCGTTACGCTGGTGGCATTGGGGTTTTTTTTTTGGGGTGGGAGTCAGACCCTTGCTGCAAATGCAAACTGACAGCACAGCTTCAGAAGGATGTTTGTGACACAGCTGTATTTTTTAATTTGAGGTGGGTACGAGCTGCGGTTTTACATCTGAAGATGCCAAGGCAAAAATCCTCCCCCCGCTGACTCCAAGCACGAGAACATGGTACAGGGTGTCCTTTCCTGGAAGCAGTCAGAGAGCAAAAGGCAGACGGTAGTTTAGTCAGCCGAGGACGGGGCTCACAATAGGTGGAACGTCAGGAGGATTTAAATCAAGCAGCAAGGAAGACCCTAAAGGAAGAAGGGAGAAAAAATAGAAAAACCCTAACCTCAGAGTGTGGCTATAAAACAGAGTCTGGGAGCTACTATTGAGCCTTTGTAAAAAGTAGAGGCAGACTCTTCATCAAGGGTATTTCTTCCTCCAACACCCCTTGTTTATTTTTAAAAAAATTAACAGCTAGAGAAAGTTCAGCGGGACGAAGCCATCTTCATTTTCTGCAGTGACCGCTGATGCCCTGGCACTCTGCAGAGAGCAGTGGGGAGAGATCTGGAGACGCAGATCCAGGCCTGTCCACCCGTGTTCAGCCTGCAGCAGCCAAGGGGGAGATTCCTCACCCTCCAAAAGAAATCACGAAGGCCATTCCAACCCATCCTCACTGCCTGGGGCATGCCGAGGGGCAGTTTTGCTGCCTGGCTGTGATTTTGCCCTGTAGACCTCATCCATCTGAACCCTGGGGTTTGCTCCCTTCGTTGGCTTGTGCGGATAACGCAATCTTTTCTAAGGAAAGAAGCAGCAAACAGTGCAAAATAACCAATAAATTAATCTTCACTGGTGAAAGGCTGATGGAGTTTGCTGGGTCAAGGCTGGTGATGGTGAAGTTTTCCCACACAGCATCCTTCTCCCTTCCCTTCTCATCCTGGCTTTGAATCCAGCCCTGAAACAGGGTCGTGGGAGCTGGACCATCTCTGTCTGTGCATAGCCAGGGTAGAGTGGGGTCCTGCGTTCTTGGGGTGATCGGTACTGTCTTGTGCCTTGAGGAGCCAAAGAAATGGCTCCTTGGATCTGGAAGAGGGGAAGGACCATGTAGAAAACCACTTTTCAACACTTCTATAGGGAAAATGTAATTTCCTCTGGCATTTTCCTCCTCCTGCTTCACCTGCTGCTAGGCAAATTTAGGTTTTGGTTTTTTTAACTGAAAATAGAGGCTCGTTCTGTCTGTCCTCTAAAGCCCAGACACAGCTTCTCACAAATGGCATTTTGCTATATCCACAAATAAGCGCTGATGGAAGCACTGCTGCTTTCAGAGTAAAATAAATATTCCCCCTGAATCCTCACCTCCCTTTGTCCAGCTGAAGGCTGCTTCCGTGTGTTTATTTTCTGAGCTCCGTGGTGCTCTTGAATACATATAAAGTATTACCGCTGACTGCGGGGAATTTCAGCGTGGCCCTTAATGGTGTATTTGCATAGAGCTGTCAAAGCCCCGGCACACCTGGGCATCAGTGCACGGGAGGCTCCTGCAGTTTTATGTTAGAACCTCGCTCTCCTATTGGAAAAGAAATGTGTATTAAGATAAGAAAGAAGAAAACATCAACCCTGTAGGTACTCCATAAAATTAAACTTCAGATCTGCGCTGCCGTTCCCGGGCTGTATTGCTGAGCCTTGGCAGAGCCTACCATAGGAGTAGGCAGTGGAAATTCACATTGTGCTCAGCTTAAACTGCTTTTCAGGTTTATCTGTCCGAACCTTATTGATTTAGATTCGCAGCATGGGGGCATCGTCGGTATAGCTTGTATTATGGTCGTGGCAGGAAGCTCCTTAGTGCAGGGCAAACATGGGGTAAGAAATAGCCCCTGCACCACAGTGTCTTTGGGGAGAAGGTATAAAAAAGTGGCACCCAGAGAGATGAAGGGATGTTCTCAAGGTTACCCTGACCGTCAGTGGCAGAGGACGGAGCTGACTCCCGAAACGAGTACCCCGACACGCAGCGCAGGGTCCTTTTCCCTGCTTTGCCCTCTGGTATTGCGTTAACAAACCTGTTAGATGCTTATTTTGGTTTAATACGAGAGTTAACCCAGCGATAAGGTGAGGGGGAGAGGAATAAACCTCTGTCTCTTCCAGCTGCACTAACATGCTCTGAGGCTGGCATCGGGTGGCAATAATTTATTTCCAGGTTTCTTTTCAGGTTGCTTTGTTTTCCATTCAGAGTTAAAATAATCAGAGTGAAATCTGGATAGCTTCTCAGCCTGGCTATTATGGGAGCAGGAGAGAGAGCAAATGAAAATACCCCCTCAGCCGCCAAGACTGCAAACATGCACTATGTGACCTGAAATTTTGCGTTAAAACGATCTGTCTAGAGGGCTTCTCGCTGAGGCGGCGAACAACAAAGGACAGTGGTTTCATGGAACCTTCGTGCACCCGAGCCCGATAACCACGGAGGCTCCAGAAGCACAGTAACAGCCACGTCAGTTCATTCAAGTTGCCTGGGAGGGGCAGGGGCTGAGCTCGGAACTGGATCTCTTTCCTGGTGTTTCAGCACTTTGGTGGGAAAGATGATTTTTGAGGATGCCGCTGCTGTTGATTTAAGCTGAGAAAAGGAGCCTGATGGTAGAAAACAGAGTCCGGGTGTGCCGAGCCCACCCCATCCCTCCTGTGCTGCAAGCGAAATGCTTCAGATACACGGTGGTGGGGCCGTGTGAAGTTGTCTAGTCAAGTAATGGGGTCTTTCTTATGGAGAAAAAAACCCCAAATCTAGGTTTTTGTCAAAAAAAAAAAGGCTGCTTTGTACAGTGGGTCCTCAGCAAGGTTGGGTCTGTCCCTGCCTTAGGTGGCTCCTGTCCCCTTTGGCTATGACCGAGTTCCTGTCTTCCCAGTGTGTTTGATCCTGGCTTGAAGAAGTGTTGAAGGCAATGGGCAGAATGGCTTTATGAGGTGCTGTGGTGTAGTGAGGGGCCTGGACGTTAGCACAGACGGGATGCCTCATTTTTTGAAGACAAATGTGACATGAAATGGGATCTTCCCTATTTATAGACAAGGAGCTCGAGCCCTTCCTGCCTGCCTGTCCTTGAAGAGCAGGTTTAAGAAAATTGAACTTTTGCTCTGCTTTTCCCTCGCTGTCCCCATGGGATTTCAGGCCTATCTATTTTTTTGGAAACGGGTTCCACAGCCATCAGCTCCGTGGGCTGGCGCTGGTGCCCATTGCGCGTCCTGCAGCCTGCCCTCCTCTGCCTCTTTGAATAATTGATCTGCAGGCAAACCCCTATTGCCAAGACACCAGCCTGACGCGTGCCAATTCCCTGGGAGAACTGTCAAAAAAAAAATAGCCCTCTCTGAAATTCATTTTGGTTGGAGGCAGGCTCCCAGCAATCAAATGGATTAGTTGTATTGTCGGCGCGCGGCGGCGGCATTAGCTAGCTCGCTCAGCGCACGCCGGCGTTGAAAGGCTCATAAATGTAATGAAGTCCCTTTGACACCTGCTCCTCTCCACACTTTAAACGTGAGCCATTGGTCCGCAGGGAACCGGGGCTTTAAAAATAGAAATTATAGTAATTGTCTGCTGTGTTATTGGGAAGATTGTAATAAACGTGGAGCACAACACTGTGGTGCCACGAGCTGAATGCTGACAGGATGCATAAATTGCTTCAGGTTTTGATTCTTTTTTTTATTTCTTTTTTTTTTCCCCTCTCCAATCTCCCCATCTAACAAATCGCATAAATCATTGAGTGCTAATGCTGTGCTTCTGCAGGGTGGCTGTGAGAGGGGCACCCGGGGAAGTTTCATCCCTCCTTTTTAAGGTGTTTTCAGCCGCAGTGCCCCATCGTCTGGGGACCTCTAACCCCTCTCCCTGCCTGCCCAACCGCCTCCTGCCCTCCTCATCACCCCCAGAGCTCACGGGTTTCTGGGGCAGGGAAGGTGGGAGAGGCCCCAGACAAGCAGTGCACCCTTCAAGGGTGGTGGGTGAGGACCCCCAGCCTCTTCCGCTGGGGATGGCGAGCAGCAGCCCTCAGTTTTAAGGCACACGTGGGGATGTGGGGGCATATATCATGTGTGCATTGTCCCCACTGTCACTGGAGCAGCACATGCTCTGCATGTGTGTCCCTTCCTGCTCCTTAATCAGGGGGAGCAGCTGCTCATGTCCCCCCCTTCTTTCAGAGTGTCAGAGGGTTGGCTGTGGAGTCTCTTCATTTTGGGATGGCACGGGAGCTGGTTGCATCCCTCTCCCAGTGGGACTTGTAGAGGATGCTCCAAAGAGAATTTGCTTTTATTTTGTCAAATCCCGTTTGGGAATGGTCCTTTCCCCCTCTCTGCTTCTTGTTATCCCAGGAGGAAAAGTCCCAGACAGTAACACTGCAGTAAAACCCAAATCATCTTGTCCTCAACCTACTAGGCTACAATTCATATCCCTGCTCCCACCCTGATCCTGCTCACCCCCTTGGCATTTGCAGCCAAACCACCTGCCTGCGGAGAGAGCATCTGTGTCAAGGGGAAGATGTAAAACCGGCTCTTTGACCGCTTAGCAACTTCCTTGACAAGTTTCATGAAATCCCATTTCTATTGTTCTGGCTGAATCTTCTTGTCCCAGGCCCCTGCTTTTCCTTTTCCCACCTCCAGACACAGCGATTTCAAAGCTCCCCCACCCCGACACCGGGGTGCGGGTGCGGAGCCTGTGCTGCACCCCGGAGGTGGCTGCACTTCAGCCTTCCGTTACCTTGTGACACGTTGTGATGTTTAATTAATATCAAGCACTTTGAAGTTCCCGGTGTTACTTATTCATGCCCATATTCCCCACAGGCCCTCCTGTTTGATGTCCGCGTTGCAGGGGTTATTTTGATGCAACCCTCTTTGTGTCAATTTAAGCAGAGACAGGAGGTTTTTAAGGCATTACACGCGGAGTTGCCCTTCCTGGGCACGAGATCAGCTCGGCTGCATGTTCAGAGATTTCTGAATACGTGCCAGCTCCTCACCCAGCTGCTCACAGCACTTTGGTGGTGTCAACCCAGAGAAATCAGTTCTGCCCTTAACAAGTGGTAGCTTGGACGTAGCCGTTTTCCATCACGGGCCGTCACACCTGTGTGCTTATCCCTCTGCGGTGCCTGACCAGCAGAGAGTCCTTGTTGAGTCCCAGGATGTGGAAAATTGCGAAAATTGCTAAATTTGTGCACAGTGGGTTGAACAATAAAATCAGCGTGAGAAATCTGTGCCTCAGAAACTCAGGAAAGCTTTCCCTGCCATCCGGGTGTTTACACAGAGCAACAACCATGTGAGATTGTCCTTTAACAGTAATTTTCTTGTTATCTTTCAACAATTATCTTCTCTTTCCATTCCAGATGAGTTTAGAAAATGACGATAAGAGAGCACGCACGCGATCGAAGTCTATCAGAGGTGAGCAGCTGGTTATCCCGCAGCGCGGGGATGTATAGACCCGAGCTCCCTACACTTTGCTTGTTCCAAATAGGCTTTGATTTTTCAGGCCCAGGCTTAACTCTTTAAGTTATGCTCACTGCCCATACCCCAACCCCACTACAATTTGACTACAAACCTGGAAAACTCCCAACCACAAATCATTACAGGTCTTCATGGTACTTAACTCTCATCCCCTACACCCAGGAGAAGAGAGAAAAAAATAAAAGAAAAAAAAAAAAAAAAAGCAAGGCCCTCTGCATGCTTTGTGTTAGGGGTTTGCAATCACTGGAGCTTCAGATCAGCTCCCGGGGCTTTCATCACGCACACGCTGCCAGCGGCTTTGAAGTCGCACATCTGAGCGTGCCTGGCAGAAGCCGCGCATGCTGGAGAAGCAAATGGGGCTGTCCCCCGGCAGGGACGTGAGGACAAATGACTTGCTCATGCAAAGCTTGATTGCTATTTATTTTCCGACTCTAAATAACCGTGCAGGTCTTACTTTGCGTGCTTTATCTCCGGGAGAAGGCGAGATGCTCTGATACAGAGCACAGGGTGTCACAGCGTGGTCCCGTGGCCACGGGGGTTGGTTACAGACCGGCCTCTTGTTGTCGTTCCTTTTTGTGGCCATGGATTTGATGGATTGCAAAGGTGTCTGGAAGCCTCATCTGGAGGGATGAACAAGGCTGGCTGAAAAAGTGTGGTGTCTGCAAGGACTGCAGCTGTGCTGGACCACCTTCCTTTGCCCTCACCCACCCTCCTCGCTGCTCCTCTCAGCATCCGCATCTTTTTAAAACCAAACCAAACCCCAGATGCTGCCAACTGGGGTGAATCGAGCTCAGATATTTGGGTTTCATTGCTTTGTTGCACACACGTAAAGGTGCTCGCTCAGGTTGCTAAGGAGAGTGCCCTGATTCTATTTATTTTCTCGCACCCTGCCTCCCCCATGCTCGAATCTGGGTTTCTTGACGTGAAAAGGTAATTTATTGCATACGCCCTGGGACTTGCCACTGCCTCCAGTTTGTTGAAGCTTGTGAGTCACCCCACTGGGAGCTGGATCCCAGGAAACCCAATTAGCTCAAACAAATTGAGCAAACGTGTTATGGTTTTTTAGCCTGGGCACTTTTAGACTTGTGTTGTGGGCTTTTTTTCCTCCTGATTATTTGGATTCCTGGCTGGATGTAAGATTTCAGCAGCAATGAGTCATTGTTGTATGTTGTTATTGTACGTAGTGGGCTGTCCTTTTATTCACAGGTGGGGAATAATCCCTAAAAACCCTATAAACTATTGCTTACCCTAAAAGCCAAGCAGCACATGCCCTACCATGTGTCTCAGCGTAGGCAGGGGCTCCCACATCAGTCTGGTGTGACAAGGGGAGGACAAAAATGTGCCTGTCCCTGTTGATAGGTAAAAGGTGAATGTGGCCATTGCAACAAAACAGTAGTGAACTGTGTAAAAAAGTAACTCTGGAGTGTATTTTAAAGGCAAATATAGAGAAGAAGGTATGAGAAAACTCGGTCTTTACTTAAAAGGGTTTGAATCATATGCATTTGTAGCTCTGTTGACTTTAAAGTTGTCATATATTTAGAGAGACGGGTAGTCTGATGCTGCAGGCATGCACTGATGTGCTTGAAATCAAGCACCGACAGAAGGATTTAGAGGGCAGGATTGTGATTTACTACAGGCAGGCATGCAGTAAATGAGGGCAGGATAGGCCTACCATTTCTTTCCCAAACGGGATGCCTGAGGAGGCAATAGAAACCCAGCAGCAGGCAGGAGAGGATCCCCAGAGACCAGGGGGGGTGGGATATCTTGGGGGGGGTTGAGCACCCCTGTTGTGTTTTTGACCTTGTGTTTGTTTCCATTGCTGCATCTTGCCCAGTGCCCACGGAGCTCATCGGCCAGGAGGTGAGGTAAGGACCCTGCTCCTCCTCGGTTGGGGTGGGTGGGTGAGAGGGAGTGGAGGGGGGACCCTGTGCTTGGACTGGCTTGGTTGAAGCCCCACATCTCCTTACAGTCTTGGAAACCTGGGTGAGAGGAGCAAACCATGGGACTGATGGGGTGGAGGTCTTGCTGGGGGCTTATATTGGTGGGCACCTTGTGTCCAACTCCTGGGGGCAGCACTTGGCCGCACACATTAGGGGAACTACAGGAGTTAAAGGGATGGAAACACGAGCTCTGGATGGGTCACATCAGACTGAAGACCCTCCAGCCACCCTCTGTCCCACCCCAGATCTAAACTCCAGCAAACCCCAATGCTTATGCTTTGTGTTACAGGATCATTAGGGACAACATCCTAGTGATTTTCTTTTCGATATATTTTAAATACTCTTGTTGCCCCCAAACAATGTTGTGTCACATCAGTTCTTGTGTCAGAAGCTCCTCCCTTGGCCCCGCGTCCCCTGCTGAGTCACCAAGGTCCTGTTGTCACTCACTGTGACAGTGCTGGCATGCCAACAGCAGCAGCCAAAAGAGCCGGAGCGAGCCTCTGCAGCCCTACAGAGCTTCTCATTATAAATAACAGCCTCCCTCATCTCGAAGCTCCCTTTAAACCTCGCACAAGGGCTTACGCAAGAGGTAGCAGTCTTTAACCTGGACAGGCGCTAATAGCAGGGGTTGCCTTTCCTAGCAGCCTCCCTTAGAAAGCTGTGTGTCAAAAGAGTAATTGGACCTTAACCAACCCAATTTCAGAGCATTTCTGCTCTTCTACTCTCCTATTACTCCGGAGAGACAGGAGGAGCGAGTGGCGGGCATGCCACTTCTCCAACTTTTATTGCTGAACACTTGAGTGGAGGTGGTAATTGGAGCAGGTGACATATAGAAGGGGCAGGACAGAGTGCTCCACAAAGCCATCTCTGCAGCTGTCACCTAATTGCCTGATTAACTGGACGATTAATCGACTAATTGGAAGCAGGGCATCGTCTGCATAACAATAAGAGGCCTTTTTGTCAAGCATATGAAGGCTTCGGTGGCTGTTGCAGGGAAGGAGAGCAGCTTTAATAGACGCCCAAGCCCCTTTCCCTTTTTGGGACTCCTGCCAAAATATGAAACCTCCCCGGAGGAGAGCAGGGATGGGAATGCCTGGCCCAGAGCATGCTGAGCATCACCTCTGCTTTTTAAAGGTACTAACTCGACACACCAAAGCCAGAGGCATCCCAAATCACCACCTGCTTTGGGAAATCGCGATGCTGAACCACTCGGCTCCTTCCTCCGTACGTTTAACTGCAGGCTTCATTTCACCACATCAAAAATCGTGGGGGGGAGGTGGGGGGCAGGGGAATCAGCTTTAATTGATTCAGGAAAGCTTATAAAAGCCTGCAACATCTTCATCAGAGCTGCTCTTGTTTCCCACTGAATAAGGCCTTTTTCAGGCGAGTCACTGGTAACATAAACAGCGCTCTGTCTTTCGTCGTGCAGTCGCTTAGTGTGTCTGGGGTTGCTCAGTACAGAGCAGCCTCAGTCATGACCGAGGGCAATTAGAATTAAACAGACTTTCAGCTCATCAGCAGAGGGAGCAGCGAAGGGGGGAGGTCCCTCTGCCAATTCCGCATGTTAGTGGGAGAGATCTTTTTGCTCGGGAAGGGATGCCGCGCTGGCAGGCGAGACTCCAGGCGCAGTGGGGCTCATGCTGAAAAAGCTGGGAGCCATCCCTCAAGTGATGGCTTCGGAGGATGCTCAGCATCAGGTTGAAATTGGGCCACGATCAAAGCGGACAGCAGGAAGGAAGGATTCCATCACGCAGGGGCCAGGAGGTGCCGCTTACACCCACGGTCGCACAGCCGCCTCGTCTAGGAAGCCGTGTGTGTCCCCTTAGGGGACATGCTGCCGTCATTCGCCCTCTTAGCGTTATCTTTGCTAAGCTAAAGCAAGCCTTCTCCCCGAAGGAAGGATTCCTACTCCCCTGACAGTTCAGTAGCTCTCTCCTGTCCTGGTTTTGGGTTGAAATAGTCTTTGAACAGAGCGATCTGACTTGTGCACGGTGTTCTGGGGAGTTGAGCCATTAATAACCCGACGGTGCACCCAGAGCTGCTGCATCCATTAGCGCACTCAGATCCTCCTTATCCTGAGCTTTCTGCAAGGGCTGAGCTCTCTGCTGAGAGCAGAAATTCTGAGTTCCTAAAGCCTGACTTGGCAGTTGGTACTATTTAATGTTATCCCATGTCTTTTACTCCAAGAATAACAGGCTGGCCAGATCCCCTCTGGGCTGGCGATGACTTCTCCCTTTGCACTGTCACCAAGAGATTTCATTAGTGCTTCCAACTTCCTGGGCCGAGGGTGATACGGTGCTAAATGAGGTTATTAATCCTACATGACTCTAGAATTCCTCAGATGTCAGGCAAGTCACTTGGGCATCCTATAATCAATGCCATAATCTGGTTTTGCCAGAAAATGTTTGCTTTAATGCTTCTTATCTGAAGCCCTTATAGCTCCTGGAGCTGGGACTAATCACCGCCGCAGGGGAGGTGCACGGCCCCGCGCCGAGGGATGCAGCAAGAGGCTGCGTCGCAGCAGCCCGTGGCAAAGACAGCAGCGGCTGCCAGTGCTGCCCAGAGCTCCCTGGAAGTCTTTAACTCATCCTCTTCTGCGGAGCAGCAGGAACAAATGCAGGGATGTGGGAGATCTGGTGACCTAAATCCCATCAGTTTCCCCAAAAGTGAGGCTCTGAGTTGCTTTTGAGGATTTTTGTCCTGGTGATCCATACCCAATGTGCTCTGGCTGAAACCTCCTCGATCCCATCCCAGCCTGTTCTTTCAAAAAACCCCATCTATTTCTTACTGCAAAGAACCCCAGTTCCTTGATAAGCCATGAAATAAGTGAAAAGTCTGTGTTTTCCTTCTGCACCTGGGAAAAAGAAAACTGAAGAGTGGTGGTGGGGAGGCAGAGTGCAGTAGTCGTCTGCTTTTTAAAAGCTTGCTCTTACACATGCAAATCTTTGATTAAACATACTCATAAAACTATAATGAACCGTTCATCTAATCAAACAGGGTGAGTCATTTCATTAATTTTTAGCAAACGGCAAGGCTGCTCTCCTGCCCTCCTCACTTGGAATTCAAAGGGACAAGCTGGACCATTTGAGGGAAATTATCTTCCCTTTCACAGTTATTCTGTTCCTTGTGCACTGGCCCCATTTAACTGATCATAGTTTATACACTTCTAATTAAAAATGAATTTTACGAGTCCTGTTGCTGTTCTTGACAGTTCCTTGTTTCCCTCTCAAGCTGTCCAACCCCAGGCTGTAACGGCTCAGGACACATCCGTGGAAAGTATGCAAGACACAGAAGGTGAGGCTGGGTCAGGGGTAGTAGGGATGGGAAAAGCGCCAGCAAACACCTCAGACACAGATGTTTGCTGGAGAGAGGCTGGTTCAGAGCAGCAGCCAAACTCATCTGCCCCAAATCTGACTACCAAAGAGCCAGTTTGCTATCCCATGAGGGATTCTAGACGATCTGCTTCACCAGGCTGACAGTAGCCTTCCCACAGACCCCAAACCATGGCACAGCACCTGGCTCGGGCGACTGGGGTTGATGGGTGCTGTTGGCAGGTGGAGATTTTTGGTCTGCTCAGTGCCTCAGGACGTGAGAACATGCAGGCTGCCTTCGAGGCCACGCCAGCCTAAACTGATGGTTTTCATCACCCTATAATGATGGAATCAGAGCAGTTGGTGGACATGTCCCAGGGTTCTGCATCCCCTGTCTGGTTTCCTGGTGGCCATCGCCAACAGTGGTGCTGGGAGCTGTTGGTCCTGCTACTCCATGGGCCAGACTGCTGGAGTGAGCACAGCATCCTTGCGCTGACCTCTGAGTGAAGCTGACATAGTGGCATAAATTCAAGGTCTGAGAGCAGATCTTTTGGCCATGTAGGGTTAAACCAGCCAAAACTCCGGTCTGATGGATGAGGCTTATTTTTTTAGCGTGTGTGTTTGTCCCACTTGCCTTTCTCACTCAGCAATGCCTCCTCTCTGCTCCTTGATCCCATCTGCAGTTTACAAAGCTGCCCTCTAGCAAAGAAGAGGAAACTTCAGGATGCGGAGGCTGAACATCTGGTGTCAAAGAGAAAATCCCATCCGCTCAAGCTGGCCTTGGATGAAGGCTACAATGTCGACAGTGACGGCAGTGAGGAGGCCGAGGTGAAGGAGGAGTCCGGCTCTGATGAGTCGGAGGGGACGCTGGAGGAGGATGAAGCGGAGGCGGTGGAGCAGGAGGAGACCCGCAGTCCTGAGACGGCAGAAGGTGCTTTATCATTATTGATTGCAGAGCTGTGTTCTGCAGATGAATAAAGGGCAGGGAGTGTTAATAACCAGGAGTTATAGCTCTTCTGAATTATGTACAGGATGGGTCCTTCAATTATTCTGTTCAGTGGAAGCACAAGAGCAAAGCTCTGGTTACGCTGAGAGGGGGTACACACAGATTGTCTCCAGTGTCTTAAAAGCGAGATCTTTTGCATCAGGGTTGCTCCCTGGAGAGAGATCCATGGAAGCACAGAGAAACTCACTGCATGCCTCAGATGGCGGAGGGGAAGGCAGCCAGGGTCCCACACTGGTGCCTCAAGGGGTTCAGCTGCCTTTTCTGGTGCAGGATCCGGCCACTCTCCGAGAGGAGTGACAGACAAATGAGCCGGGGGTCCAGCCGGGGTCCTGGCACTGCATCGGACCTGGTTTGGAGCCCCTGGTTTGGGGAGCACTGGGAGCAAGGGGGCCAGATGGCTGCTGATGGGGGGTGGGGGCCGGGACGCCAGGTGCATCTAAGCCCCCAGAAGCTTCCATGTGGAAATCACCTTTCTACCTGCCATTCCTAGGCTGCTCCAGGGGTATAACAGCCAGGCTCTGGTTTCAGTTAAGCTTAAGTAAGACAGAGAGATGTTCATGAGCTTATGGAATTCCTTTCTTTTCCTTGGCGTTTTCTTTTTTTTTTTTTTCTTTTTCTTTTGCTCCTTTTTTTCTTTTTTTTTCTTTCCCCCCTCTTCTTTGTTTTCCTTTTTTCCCCCTCCCCCCACCCTCAGAGAGAAGCCCAACAAAATCAACCCATTATGGACAAAACACGGCAACAAGTACGTCTGGGCCCAGCAAGGCCAACTATAGCAGCTATCAAGAAATAATCGCCAACTCTCTCCTCAACCTAGGCCAAATAGCGGAGGAAACCCTCGCCATCGAAGGGCAGCTGCCTGAAGCTGAGCTCCAGGTCTCCAAGCCGCCATCCAACGTTGTGCACCTGGTCCATGAGGATGCGGGAGAGGAGTTAGCGGAGGAGGAGTGTGACAAGGAGATCATCATCCAGACGGAGGATGCTGAGGAGGTCATCGAGGTCACCAGCGAACGCAGCAGCGAGTTGTGTCCGGAGCACCGGGATGATGCAAACTGCGAGGAGGCCTGCAAACTGCAAAAGGCTGATGCAGAAGAAGAAGATGAAGAGGAGGAGGAGGAGGCGGAGGATGATGATGAGAGGAGGAAGATGAAGAGGAGGAGGAAGAGGAAGAGGAAGAAGAGGAGGAGGAAGAGGAAGAAGAAGAGGAGGATGAAGAGGAGGAAGAGATGGCTCCTGAAGTGATCTGTGAAGAAGCTCCTCACACTTCTCAGGACACCCAGAAAAGCCACTGTGAAGGGCAGTTCAGCCCGAAGCCCGAGTACTCGGTCATCGTGGAGGTCCGGTCGGATGATGACAAAGACGATGACGCCCGCTCCCAGAAATCGGCAGTGACCGACGAGTCCGAGATGTATGACATGATGACGAGGGGGAACCTGGGGCTGCTGGAACAAGCCATCGCACTGAAGGCTGAGCAGGTGAAAATTGTGCGGGAGCCCAGCCGGCTGCCAGGAGAGCACGTAAAGCACTTCCAGGTGGATGAGAAGCAGAGCAAACCGCTGGACAGCATCCGAAAGAGCTACTACGGCAAAGGTATGGGGACGAGCCTTCGTGTGTCTCCTTCCTTCCCATCCCCACCTGAATTTGTCTGCTCAGGACCCCATGAAAACTGGGATTTTGGGTGGTTTCACAGCCCACAGGGTGAATTTAGCCACAAATCTTCAATTCACAGAGGGATGGGGGCATCCTAAAGGTCAACAGCGAATGCACAAAATGATGGTGTCCTCTACATCTCAGCAGGGAGGGGAGTTGCCTGTTGGCCTTGAAAATCCTAGCCTGGGCAGTAGGGCTGGTTTAAAACCCAAGGGGGTTTTAAAGAAGTGGTCGGAGTTCAGCCACAGCGACATGAGGGACTTGGCAGAGGCTGCAGGATCCCCTGGGTGCTGAGCTGGGCTGCCTGCTCTGTCAGTGTGAGCAGCTCCATGCTCCTGGTTGGGTTAGCTGCTCAAATTGCTTTGCTGATTTTAATTTTTGAAACTTCCAGTGTTACAATTCTACCTTCAGAGAAAAAAAAAAAACCCACACCAACAACAACTCCAAGCCCAAAGGTTTCTCCCTGTTTAACTGGAAAAATGATGAGGAGCATCCTTAGCAATTTTTCTGTCCTTTCCACCTCTTCCCTCCAAATCTGCTAACCTGCTTCCCACCGTCCTTTCCCCATAATCCTCAGATCCCTCAAGACCCGAGAAGCGAGAAATCAAATGTCCGACTCCTGGCTGCGATGGGACCGGCCACGTCACGGGACTCTACCCTCACCATCGCAGCCTCTCTGGTTGTCCGCACAAAGACAGGATCCCTCCCGAGAGTGAGTACATGCTGGGATAACAAGGCTTGCTTTCCAAGGGGGATTTTCACTCCTGATGGGTGGAGCTGTCTCAAGGCCAATGAGCACTCCAAATAGTCCCAAATGATGTGAATTTTATCACAAAGTCCCTAGCACAAGCCTGATGTTATTCTTTGGTGTATAATGGAGTTTCTGTCAGGGGATGGGGCTTTTCCAACTCGTTCTGGGATGCTTTTACCCACCAAAGAGTTACCTTTCTTCTCAGGGTGTGCTATAGAAGTTACTAAGTAGTCCTCCCCTTCTTAAAGATTTTTAGCACCATCCTGTGGAGAATGAGGTCCATTCTCAGAAAAATCAAAGAGGTGCTTTAAAAATGATGCCCAACTCCATGCAATGTCACATGTTTTTCTCTATTTGGGATATCACATTGGGAGAAGGGGAAACTTCTTTCCTGCTGTCTAAATGTGCTGGAGCTGCTGTGCAGCAGAGGAGTCATTCAGTTTGTGCAGGATAGCTGAGCCTCCTCCTACGCTCTCACTGCTCTAAAATGCACAAGGTGCTATATTGAGATTCATCTATTCCACAGAAAATATTTATCATCATCATCATAACAGATTTTTTATATATATATATATAAATAGGGAGATATTTTATTCCTACCTCTCTACCAGCATCCTAAATAGCTCTCCCTGTGTGTATGTGTAAAAATCAACATTGTATGTTTATGATAATGGCATAATAGACCAAAAAAAAAAAGGAGCACTTCTTTATCAGTAATTTCAAAGGTTGCAGACCTGCCATAAACACAGAACTGCAGGGAAACAAGGAGAAAGTACAGCTATCTGCACACAAGCTTGAATGCAAGAAAAAATATTAATAAATAAGTAACAGAGGCTGTGTGCTTTCGAAAGGCTTGCAAATCAAATTATTTTCTTTACTTTTAAGGTCAGCGCTGCAGGAAGCAATAATCCTGAAGATTAAAATATATATATAAAAAAAATCAAACAAAGACTAGTCCTAAGGATAAACGCAGAGATACAACTTCAATCCCTTAAAACTACCTGAAACTGGGAGGTCTGGCTCCAAAAGGGTAGTGGGTGGGAGGGGCTGGAGGGGGGAAACAGGATTGCAATCAGCGAATGAGGAGAAAGCCCAAGCAGAGATGCTAATCTCGTGCTGACCCGAGCACTGCTGCCTTGTAAATCCTTTTTTTCCCTGCGCAGACCAATTCTAATTACAGCATTTCACGTTCCCTGATTTCTAGGAAACCAGCGTACAAGACTTGATGATTTTGTCTTTTTTTTTTCTTTTCTTTCCTCTGATTTTTATCAAGTTGTTTTTGCTTCCCTTCCCCTTTCCCCTTCCCCTTCTCGCTCTGAAGTCTTGGCGATGCACGAGAACGTGTTGAAATGCCCCACGCCAGGCTGCACAGGACAGGGTCACGTCAACAGCAACCGCAACACGCACAGGAGGTACCAGCATTGACTTCTCCTCCATCACACCCAGGGCAAGGATGGCAGCAGGGCAACCGTCCCCCAAAACCTTGGCTTTTGTACTGAGAGCTGGCACACCTAAGGAGGGCGAAGTAGGGATGACCCGAAGACAAAGAACAGTATGAGAAAGCAAGACGGGGCAGTGATTTCTGTCTGGACAGGAGAGCAGAGCAGTGCTTCCAGGCTTATAGGTGGGACTGTGGAGGGGTAGGTGCAGGTGGGAGTTCGTGGAAGAGGTGTTTGGCACTAGGGAAGCAGAGGGTGCCAGGTGAGGCTGACTGGAGGGTGATGTTTGTGCTCGGTGGTGTGGCACTTAGCAGGATTTCTAGGAATTCCAACAATATTTAGGCTGAAGTTATTGATGAGCTGGGTATTTGGGTCCTCTTGTTGTAGGACGTCAGCCCAGATGTGGTCAAGAGGGGACAGGGTGGTGCTTTGGGACCTGTAATTACACCCCGTGCACTGGCTTTGCTTAAACTTGAGCACTTTTACAAATGGCATGGCTGCAGGGGGAGGAGATGATGAACTTAAAAGCCAGAAACCTTCCAAAAAGCCAGACTAGCTCGCACTACAGGGATGCACTCATGAATTTACGTTTTACCATTCGTTGCACTTGATCTTAATTGGCAGAGGGTGACGGCTCTGTGAATGTCGATGCATTTGCAGGCGCGAAGTGAGTTCGTGTCGTTACTCATTCAGCCGTGGAAGAAGCTGGTGGATGCTTCATCGTAGCAGCTAGAGGAAAATCAGGGAACTCTGCTCAGTTAATTGGGAAGCTCAGTTTGGTGCAGGCAGCAAGCGGTTGCAGTGAGATCCAAGTGATCCACTGATGTTAGCGCATTATGGAGAAAGCTTTGGGTACCTTGGTTTGGGCTGAGACCCGGAGGGGTCAGAGCCCTGAATTTCACAGTGGGCTGGGCTGGGGTTCCCTTGGTGCTGGCTGCTCCGGTGATGAAAGTGCCAGTGATGGCTTGGGGTCAGCTGGGAACATGTGGGTTCTGCTTGGGAGTGGGTTTTGCCTTCCCTGAGCAATCGCCATAAGCCAAGCTGTCCCGAAGAGGCAGAGCCAAACTCACACCTAGAGCGTGTGCGAGCAAAAGCCATTACAGCCCCAACCTCCCGCAGGCACCAGCACGCTGCCAGCCGTGCACATCAGAAGTGCAAATGTTTCCCCCCGAGTGCCCCTCAGAAGGCTCCCTTCAAATGGCCCCTGCAAAAGATCCAAATAAATACAAATCAAAAATGCCATTTAACTGCTAAAACCACTCAAAGAAACCAGCCTGTCCCCTTCTGCCCCTGCTGTGCTCACCCCGGGGGGACTGCCTCCTTGATCCACCTCTGGGCCCTGGGGATGCTCACCCTGGAGACATTTGGCACTTGATGTTTGGCTGCTTTGCTGCTTGCCAAGACTAAAAGTAAGCTAGAATAATGATAATAAAAAATATCTCTTTAAATGCAGACATTTTTCTCATGGGCTCAGTGCAGCTCTGCATCCCTGAAATGAAGATTTTCATGCTCATCCCTCACGCTTGGTTTCATTCTTTTTTTTTTCTTTTTTTCCTCCTCCTTTTCAAAAACCTCCCACAGTTTATCTGGGTGCCCCATTGCTGCTGCTGAAAAATTAGCCAAATCGCATGAAAAGCAACAAACCCAGTCTGGTGATCCTTCGAAGACCAGCTCCAATTCTGACCGGATACTCAGGTACGTGGGACCGCGGAGCCCGGCGCAGCGTAACCGCGCTGCCCCAGCCCTCCCCGCGATGCCACGCTCCCACGAGCAGCCGTCACGGCTCCCTCCGGCCGTATCTTGATACTGCTGAGTCCTGTTATTACGATCATAGGTCTCACCAAGGTGGGGAGGTATCTGATTGATGATCCCAGGGAGGGCATTGAGGACAATGCATTGCTTCTGTAGCATCAATTAATGCTGAGGCTACAGGCCAAAGGGTTTTACCAGTGCAGCAGAAGGCATTTGTGCCGATCGCTCTGCAATGCAAACTGCCAGAGAATGATGGCTATTATATTAGCATTATAAGTAGGGTGGGCTCAGGGAGGAGGGGGAGGAGATTTAAGCTACATATAAATCACTTGATGGCAGTTTTGCGTAAGTCCAGACGCTTGTCTTCCTTAGCCTGCACGGTTCAGAGGAGAGAAACCAGCCACTCATTCCCAAACCAGTCACATTTATTTTGTTGTTTCGCCCGTCTCTATCTTCCCGGGAGAAAGGGCTGTCTCACATTAAGGATGTCCCTGATAGATGCTGGCTTCCGTAGCTGATGTGATTCACGAGGCTACAGATGGATTGTAATATGGTTACTTATTTTGCAACGAGAGCGGGGTAAAAACCGCAGCACCAGCCCTGAGCAGCGCTCCTACAAAGGCCCTGAGGTCTGATTAATTTATTTATTTGCTCCCCAGAACTGTCGAACATCCCAGTGCTGAGAGCTCAGTGCTTTGGAAAGGCCATTTAGAGCAATTACTTATTTATTTGCGACGGAGCCCACGCCGGGCGCAGAGCGCTCTGAGCGTGTCACGAGGACGGTCCATGCTCCAAGGAGCTCCCGCTCCGAGGACTCGCTGGCGGAAAGAGGTCAGGGGAAGGAGAATAACAATAGACCATTTATATACAATTTATATGCAAGACAAATTGATTCATGATAGGCAGCCCAGCGGAAGCAGGTCTTTAGGGGGGACTCTGCAGGCAGGGGAGAGGATCTGGCGCTTTTGTGATGAATCCGCAGGGGGAAGCGGAGCTAAACTGGGGTCTTCATGCCCTCCATGTGCCATCCTGTGGCATGGGTCCCATAAATGAGCGACGCCCAAGTTTCTGCTCCTGTAGGAAAATCCTGCCACACCACGGCAACCTGCACGAGTATTGTTTTGCATGAGATCGACACCTTTTAAGTTTACCTAAAAAGAGAAAAAGGGAAAAAAAAAAAAGGGGGAGGCAAATAATAAAAAAGGAATCTAAGAGACCCAGACCAGATGCGGACTTGCTGAGGGAGAGCAAAAGTGCTCTTGTGCCTCCTCTTTCCCAGCAGCGCCTTTGGGACAAGGTGCAGCTACGCATCCCATTGCACCCAGTCCCCTCCCAATAGCCACCTTGTCAAAGAAAAGAGAAATCACTGTTGCTCGTTGTTTCATCCTCAGGCCTATGTGCTTTGTGAAGCAACTGGAGATCCCTCAGTATGGAAGCTACCGGCCCAACATGGTCCCAGCAACCCCCCGGGCCAACCTGGCCAAGGAGCTGGAGAAGTACTCCAAGGTCACCTTCGATTATGCAAGTTTTGATGCTCAGGTTTTTGGCAAACGCATGCTTGCCCCAAAGATTCAGACTAGCGAAACCTCACCTAAAGCCTTTAAATGTAAGTTGGGCGCAGGGCTGGGTTTTGCATTTTCTGCCTTTCTCAGCGTGTCGCGAGGCTTTTGGGATCATGACTTCTGGGTGATGGGGGACTCCGGGCTGAGTTGCTGGATCTCTGCAGCAAAGCAGGGGGAGAAATGGGCATGGGAGAGGCTGAGATGGGTTCTGTGGCTTTTTCGGGGGGGAGAGGGGAGCCTGTGGCTGCCGGTAAAGCTTTGCTTGGGGGACAGTCGCTTTGGCTTTGGGAAGAATTGCACCAAGTGATAGGAACATTAATCTGGGTGATGTCTCCAGGTGGGATAAGTTACACGGTTGTCCTCAGTTGGTCCCCGCTGCTTTGCAGTTCATATCTATTGATCTGTCTTTCCTCATCTAGCTAAATGGATTATAGTTTTCTTCTCTTCCATCTTACATATGACTCCACCCATTTGTCTTTTCTGCTGTGCTCCCATCTCCAGCTCTGCTCCCTATCGATCACCCACCTCCTATCTCCCTGCTCTTCCCTATCATAACCACACACCTCTGCCCCGTCCCAAGGACCTTGCACTGGTTACCACACCGATCAAAAGCGTGGGTGACAATGAAAAGGCAAAACAAACCCTGAGGGTCTGGGCTGTCAGGAGTAGGAGGGAAACTCCATGGGGAGCCAGCCTGCTGCAGGCTGCTGTTAAACCTCCTCCTTCCCTTTGACACTAAATGCTTACCTGAAGACATCTTTTTGAGGGGAAAAAAAAAAAAAAGATTTAGGAGCCCAGTTTGCAGAAGTCAGCAGCCTCAAGAGGGCTTTCTGTCTGGCTAATCCCACTTCCACAATCCTGTTTAATCCTGATGCAGCTGCTCTCTAAAAAGTGCTCCTACTTGAAAGCATCCCGGTTGTTGCACTACAATGGAAGCGCCCTTTATTACAGTACTAAATCTGTAAGGGATCAGACAATGAAATTGGATGGAGGCCAGAGAGCACAACTGCCACTGTCATCCTGGGTTAGGGCTGATGGAAAAGTAATTTGTTTCCCAGCACAAGTGATTCGCCTGCTGAATAGATTGTGTTATTTGCAATATTAGCGAAGAATTTTCAGGGTAATTATACTGACAAAAATAATTCCAGCAGACCCACTAGGATAATCCTTTCTATTTTTTCTCGTCACTTATTTTACTAATTTGCTGATTGCGAGTCTATTAGTGGTAGAAATACTTATGAAATGGAAAAGCATCGCTGAGCCTACGGTGTGAAATTGAAATTGGCATCTCACGATCCTGGATATTGTCAGGTTGGGCTGGCGAATACCCGCTCCCCGCTGCAAAGACACGGATTAAACTGGACGCGAAAACAAGCAGCCATACACAAGAATAACCATGTGGGCAAACCTCCAATGAGTTAATCAAAGCGACAAGATGAATATGATTGCCAATCATAGCAGGGAAATCTGTTCCTTTCACTGAGAACTTATTTTAAAGAGATCTTCATCCAGAGGGATTTATATTCCCCTGCATGTGTGTGCATAACTCCCATTAATGTCAATATGCATTATATACGCACACAAGGAGGAAGAAAGCAGTCCTTGGGAAGATTAGCATTTTATGGTGTCTTATATTACAAGTTTGTAATGGGAATAATGAAATCGCTTTGCTCCGCAGCCATATCAGCCGAGGTTGTCTCGCTGCTTTGCCATCATCGGGCCAAAGCTTGTGGGTCTTCCCTGGCAAGATGCCCACTGAAGGGGGTGGATTTTTTTCTCAAAAAAAGGAATAGTGAAATGAAATAAAAATCTGAGGATTTTGCTAATTGGTTCAGAATACAATCCTGCGATTTCAGATGATCCCCAGTTTGTCCCCACTGAAACTGCTGATTTCTGAGGGACTCTGTGTGGGTCAGGGCCCTCCTAAAGGGGACCAGGTTCACGATCAGGGCAAGTTTTATTGTGGATTAACCCTGAGAAAGACTCACTTTCATTTAATAGGGTGTAAAGAGAAATTGCATCTCCAGGATTGCACTGTGTGCACTGCAGTGTGCGGTAACCGTGCGGTGTCGTGGCCGCATGCGGCTGTGCAATAAATCCTGTTACTCAGGCATATTTAAATGATATATCAGCTGTCAGAAAATCCATATTTCACTGGTGTCATCATCAAAAGCTCGTATTTCATGGCCATGGATTTGCTATTAATGTAATTATTTGAATTGTAAGTTTTCAAACGTGCTACAAGAAATGTCCCCGTAAGTCAGCTCTGCAGACAAGTTATGAACATATGGAGAACAATAAAAAAAGACCCAGGAAGCTCCTCTAAGCTTTCTCCTTTAACCACTTCCTCCAAGAAGTAGCTGTAATGAAGAAAAGCACTCATGTTTGGGGGACTTGATGGCAGAGTCAGTTAATTAATTAAGTTTTCACACAGAGACACCATTGCACAAATCGCAGCCAGCACTGCTCCTACTGCACATCCCCGGCAACGAAATACCCCGTGGCTCGGTACTAACCTCAGCTTGCCACTAGAACTGCTGATATTTTAGTTGTGTCAGACTGACTTAACCTGTCACCGCTGCCTGTGCCGGTTATACATTAGCCTTGTGTTGTTCCTTTTCTTTTTCATTCCAGCCAAACCTTTTCCAAAGGCCTCTTCCCCCAGCCACAGCCCCTCCAGCAGTTACGTGAAGAGCACTTCATCTTCCTCCACAGGCTTCGACTACTCCCACGACGCCGAGGCTGCGCACATGGCTGCCACTGCCATCCTCAACCTCTCCACCCGTTGCTGGGAAATGCCGGAGAATCTCAGCACGAAGCAGCAAGAGGCCCCCGGCAAGGTGAGATGAGCTTGCCTGGGGACCACCGCTCCAGCACCCAGCAGAGTGGGTTAAAACTTGGTGTTTGGGATGGGAGAAATACCCTTTTTTTTTTTTTTTTACTTTTCCTTTATTTTAATCTTTAAATATAGAGGGAATGCGGACTTGTCACATACCACCTTTCGCTCCCTGCTTTGGGTGAGGCAGTTTGGAGGAGCTAATCTTGGCACTTAGTGTGTTAGGGAGATGCATCGTGACTCAACTTACCCATCTGAGACGAGCATCGTTCCTAAGCTGAGTCTCAGGGCTGGTTTCAGTTGCTCACTGGTCTGTATCTGATGCCATTTGAGATTCCCCAGTTGCGTCCAAGCTACCTCCAGATATTTTTCAGAAAAACACAGGTTTTTCAGAAGTCCCATGTTGCATCCCCATCCTTGGGCAGATGACTTAGATATCATGGGGCATCTTAAATGGCACTAGATGCCTTTGTCCAAGCAACTGAGTCAAAACACCACATTGCTGGTAGCAGAGGAGTGAATTGCATGGCATGTTTCTGAAAATATTTATGAAAGATCATCCCTTTCCATTCAGTTCCTCCTAACTGACTGTGGAGAGGATGGGAATAACCTGCCCCCTGGCACAGCAAAAGATAAATGGGGGCAATTCCATAGGGAATTGCTGGTAGCTGCTAACGTTGGGCGTGTTTCCAACCTTTCAGTCCATGGACATTGAGGTGGATGAAAATGGGACACTGGACTTAAGTATGAACAAACACCGCAAACGGGAGAGCACCTTCCCCAGCAGCAGCAGCTGCAGCAGTAGTCCCAGCATGAAATCCCCAGATGTGTCCCAGCGCCAAAACAGCACCAGTGCCACGAGCAGTACCATGACCTCCCCCCAGTCCAGCCAGACCTCCCGCCAGGATGAATGGGATGGGCCCATTGACTACACTAAACCAAACCGTCAGCGGGAAGAGGAGCCAGAGGAGGTGAGCTGTGACTTGATATTTAAATAGACCCTCTGGGTGGCCTGAATGCCATGTTTGTTTGCAAGGTTGTCCCATTTTCCCCCAGAACTCCTAGTTTGCTCTTTGAGCCTAGGAAAGACGTGTTATTAGCTTTGTCAGTGCTGCCAGTCATCGTCTGGGGACAATCAGGCAGGAGGCAGATGCTTTTGCATCTGTTGGGATGCTCTTGCCAAGGAAGACCCCACCACTTGCGTTGTCCTGGGTCTGCAGTGCTTTCCTCATTGTAAATCCTTTCAGCTCATTTGCTCCAGTGGTGCTCTTGGTGATGTTCCCCAGGATGATTTGTATCTGCCATTAGCAGATGTCACTAATGTTAATCTTGCAGGTGCAAGATGAGTGTGGGGGATTGCACTGATCTTCATCCCTTCAAGACCTTGGGAGAGCCAGGTGCATATCCCTGCACAGACGTGTCTTACACACTTCTATAAAAAGAGAAAATTACAGACTATTTGACCTCTGGTTTGGGTATTGTGAGGCGATTCAAAGGCCTCAGGAGTGTTGGCAACAGCGCACTAACAGGGATGAACCTGGGATCCTTTCCCACCATGGCTCAGCAGCAATGACCACCACCACAACCACTTTTCCTGGCTGTTCTCTTGCAGTCAGAGCCTGCTGCCCACTCTTTTGCCTCCTCGGAAGCTGATGAGCAGGAGGTGTCAGAGGAAAACTTTGAAGAACGGAAGTATCCAGGGGAAGTTACTTTAACCAACTTCAAGCTTAAGTTCCTTTCCAAGGACATCAAGAAAGAGCTGCTCACGTAAGTCCTGACTTCTTGTCTCTTCCTCCAAAATGTACACAGTATGTACCCAGGACAGCCAGGCTGGTAGCAGACAAAATTTATTAGCAAATACATTTTGAAATTGAAGTGTAGTTCCTTTTCTTACTGTGACTGGTCTTACCTATGTGGCTTAAATGCAAACACAGACAGAAACCCTATCCCCATAAAACTGCAGATTATTGAGGCAAAATGCATTCCCATATGGCCTTGAAACTCTGCAGTGATGAAGGGAACTTTCTCAGGAGTTTGGTGCTCTCAGGATTCATGGATGTGCATATGGAAACCTCCTTGCAGGGCCCATTTGTCCTGGTGTTTTCCTGTCAGAGAGTTTCTGGCACAGTGATGGAACCTGCCCAATCTCCCCTCAATGAGGATGTTGAACCTCAAGATGCTTTTTGGGCAGGCAGGACTTGGCTGCTTAATGTAGAGCAGAGTCCTATCCCTGTGATACTGCAGGGCCAGAACATGTGACCTATGCAATGTGAGATTGCATCTTACACTGGAGAGAGATCTTAACCAAACCGCGTATTTGTGGTATTGGGTGGGTGGAAACATAGAGTCAGGTTTATTCTGTTAGATGGAGTATTGGCCTGCATCCACACTGATGCCCCCAAACTAACGATTAATGTTGAGAGTCCATTAATGTTTAATGGAGGTTGTGATGGAAAGGTGTCCCCTTCCCAGGCATCCCAGCAGATCTGCTGTGTGTGGGCCTGTGCATCTGACATTCCCATATGTTAAACAGGGAAGAGTCAGCATCATTTTGCTGACCTTACACAATGTAGCTCGTTATTTGGCTACGCAAGCAGGAAGCTGAGGGAGCAAACAGGCAGGGAGGAGATCCGTGGGGGCAGAGCAGCAGCAGCATCTTCCCTAAAGGAACAAAGCACAGACCAGCTGTCCTATGCAAGCTCTAAAGGCCTTTTTTTTTTTTAAAGACCCAGCAGTGATGTGAATAGCAATTTCTGAGGTAGAGCCCTGAAATCCTCCAGTGCTTTAATTGTATTATGAGGGTAGAGAAATTTCCTAGATGGAAACAGCCCTGGGATAAACAAATGGTGTCATCGGCAGCCCTGAGCCTTCTCTCACCATTTAGCATCCTTGATCTTTTCTGGCCCAAGGGCTATAATGAATTAGCTGTAGTTAACTCTGGACCAGACTTGCCTGCTGTGTCTGGGTGTAGTTCTTGGGCCATCTCTCGGTACTGACGGCTGTCACTGTGAAGATCCTTCTCACCTCTGTCTTCTCGCCACCCGCCTGTTGGCACACAAGTGGGTACCGTGTAGCAATACTTCACTGCTGCTCAAACATCTTCCTATCAGTGCTGGCTCTAAAGCTCACTGTGTTTGTGTGGGTGCTGTGGCTGTGAAGAGGACTCAAGGGTGAGCAGGGAATAGCTGCATCCCCAAGACTCTATCTGCCAGGCCAAACTCTTCCAGGACATCCCTGCACTGTCCCAGGACATCCCTGCTCTTTTGCACACACCCTGGCCTCAGGCAGGCAAGGCACGACTGTGCCAGACCCTCACTGATCGTGCATAAACTGGATTTTATTCCCTGGACACTGAGAAGGGATGACACCTTTTCCCATCACCCACACAAGTGCAGTTCTGGGTGGAGGGATGGGTGGGAAAGGCAGCGCAGCAAAGGCAGCGGGTGGGATGCGGCAGCTTCTGTCTATCCTCGGTGCAGGAGCCCCCAGGCATGCGAGTCAGAGGTGTTTTCAAGCCTTTCTTTGCAGCTACAAGGGCAAAAAATCATTTCAGAAAGCTGAAATCTGACACTTTCAGGGAATATGCTGATTCCCGCAGCCAGAGCTTCAGTACTGCAAAAATCATGCAAATGGGCAGCACCCAGCCGGTGCTGTTTGTGCCACTCAGCAGCTTGCCTTGTCTTCCACTGCCACCGAGCAAACCAAGCCACTAAACATTTTCAACCCTTTTTTCACATTTGCCACAAATTATTTCATTTTTTTCCAATTTTTTTCTGAGCTCTTGGGACCAAAAAACGGGAGGAAAGGGAGCTGAAAGGGAAACAGCTGGTTTATTTGCATGCAAACACACACCAAGGTCCGATGGAAGGAGCCAATGTAAGGATTCTGGCTGAGCCCGACCAGACAGACCCCGAGGGGGGCTCAGCTGGCTGGGCAGATCCGTGGCTCCGGGGGAATCCATTCCTTCCCAGCACTTAACTCTCATTGTTGTTGTTGTTGTTGCCCAGTTGCCCAACCCCAGGCTGTGATGGCAGCGGACACATAACGGGAAACTATGCCTCTCACCGCAGGTGGGTTGACCTTTTTTTCATGGTTTGGACTCTAAAGACAACTTTTTTTTCCCTTTTAGTTTGTTTTTTGACCATGTGGAAAGTTTGGTTCCGTTTCCTCCCCACCTTCTGTTGCCCCTTTCCCTCCCCACACCCCGGCCTTTTTTCTTTTTCCTTTTTTCTTTTTTTTTTTTTTTTTTTTTTTGCTTATCCAGGTATTCCATCTCTTCTCTTTCAGCCTTTCTGGTTGTCCTCTTGCTGACAAGAGCCTCAGAAACCTCATGGCTGCCCACTCTGCTGACCTCAAGTATGTTTGCGCTCAACTTGGAACTTCTTTTTTTTACTTTTTTTCTACCCTTTTTTCTCTCTTCCCTCTCCCTACCCCCCTTCTTGCTCTGCTTTTGCTTTTCCATCCCCTCCCTTCTCCTTTTAAAGAGACGATCAAAATCCGCCTGTGAGGAGCAATGGTGGAATCCAGCCTCCAGCTGCCGCGTTGGGAAGACTCAGCATCACGGAGCAAGGCTTATTTTGGGGAGGCGGGAATCACGGCAATGATCAAAATAACCTGGACCCCTGGAAGGGTTTCCTTTGGGCACTGGAGACGTGCTATTTTCTTTTTCATTCAGTGTCTTTTCCCAAGCTCTTGTTTCCCTAGAGTGTGCCATAACCCTTTTTATTCAACGTTTTTGTATGGCTCTCCAATAATCCAAAGCCCAGATAAAGGCACAGGCTTTTTTTTTGGGTAGAGATGCAGCTGGGAAAATACCACCAGGACACAGTGAAGCCAACTGTTTTGGAGAACCTAGGATGCTAATTTTATGCTAAATTTAAGGGATTGTTTGGGATGCCATGACAGAGGTTCCTATTAATTTTCACAGGAGTTTGATTTGTGCGGGAATGAAAGAGGGAGTGAGCAAACACTTGGTGAGGTCTAAAATTTCTGCATTTAACCCATACCTTTGGGGAAAAGCTAATGTGAATTTTTTGTCAATATCCCTTCCATGGAGCCAGCCTATCTTTGGAGGTGATTCTCCTCTTAGCTCCCTGCTTTGCTGAATCTAGTTTCAGGATTATTTAGATGCTGAGATATTCATAACCATAACTGAAGAGCCCCTACTGAGAATAAAACCCCACGGAGGACTCACATTGCACAGGCTCATCATTAAAAAAATAACATATCCTGTGTCCTGTCTGCCATCGGTGATACTTGGAGCCATGGTAAGAGAGTCAGGTGGGAGCCCCTTCAGTCACTAAGGTGGTCAGTAAAGCCCCAAATGCCCTTTTTGGTGGCCTGGAGGCCAGCATGGGCCTGGACTGCTCCGCACCCAAGCACTGAAGTGGGTGCTGGTGTCAGGAAAAATGTTCATTAACTGCCTGCTCCTTATCACAGAGGTGGAAAATGTAGCCGGATTAGTTGATATTAATAGAATATGCTAGTGGATGGAAAGGACTCGCATGATTAGCACTAAGTACACTTAATCACACATTATGGACGATATACATTTTGAAGGAACCTCTTAAGAGAGCTTTGCTGAACTGGTGTTTCTCCAACGGCCTTAAAGAATAGCCGAGTGACCAGGCAATTAGCGTTAAAGATATTAAAAGCTCTCAGGAACATTGCCCATTTCCAGTAAGGGCCCAGAGAAGAAGCGAACAGGGTTGTCCCCAAGACCTCGCATCATGCTGAGCCTTGCTGTGCAGCACCCCTTGCTCCCCTTGGGCATCCGATGTCAGCGCTTGTTGTCAAAATACTACATAAAACAGGTCAAAAAAAAGACATTTTATTTTATTATTAAGTTATTTCCCAAGTACTGCCTTTTTTTTTTTTTTTTCTTAATGTCCTGATGAGGAGGAAAAAAGAGGAGGAAGGAAGGGAAGAGGATTTGGAGATACTACAGATAGCGCAGTCATAGCTTTTCACAACTTCTGATAAAGCCATGTCAGTGTTTCTATTATAAATTCTATTTCTGGGGTTAATATCCCTGATATAAGAAAAATAGCTCCAGGCTGGAACATGCAATAAAAGGTCTCTGTCGGTATGATTTGTCTCCAGATAATTAAAAATAAAAATCAAATCACTTCTCTCCCCTCTTTAAACGTCCTGAAAGGCAGAAGGAGATAGGTGTTAGTATTTTCGTAATTTCATCCCACCCTGAAGCTACGACAACAAAGAAACAGTTTTGCTTTCTACTTAAACGGCGCATCACAGGGAAATGTCACAGACTTCGCCTCAACCTGCAATTTCTGAATGCATTGGAGGATTTGCACCCTCATCAAGGTCCTGCTGGCTGTGTCCCTTCCCTTACTGCAGCAGCCCGATGTGCATTTATGTTTTCCTGGGTCTGAGCCTGCTGAGCCTTGTCCTGACTCAGTCTCCCTGCCACCTTCCTGGGACCAGGACGTGTCCCTGCTCTCTCACCCTAGGTGAGGTGCTGATTTTTTTTCTCCAATGGAGACCTGCAAATGTCAAACTCTCCCTCAGAGCTGGTGCAAAGAGGCGAATTTTCATATTTTCTGACCACAAAAAAAAAAAAAAAAAAAAAAAAGAGGACTTTTAAAAAGGGCATTTTCCAAGCTGCAGAACTAAAGGCATCTGTGGAAATCATTGTTCCGTTGACTCTCAGGGTCCAGAGCACCCCAACTTTACCACTGCCTAGGTCAGGCACCAGCATGTTGCCTTTCCCAAAGGCACTGACCTCAAAGGCTGTCCATTGGTTCACTGAGGTGTCCTGGAGACGCATCAATCCCTGCTCTGCTGCTGGGTAGCAACCAGTGGTACCCAACCAGACACTTTAAAAATGGGGATCAAAAATTGGGGGCACAGCAAAAGCCTCCCTTGAAGAGAAAGGGCACTCTGCAAGCTTGTGGTCATCCCATGAGTTTTGCTCGCTCCAGCTAGGAAGCAAGCGGCCAAGCATCTCCCGCTCATCCCACGGTGGCTCCATGGATTTCCTCCCCCCAGTCCTAATCGCTTGACTCAGACGGCGCTAGCTAATTGGCAGGCTGGCGCACACAGCCTCGGCAAGGGCTCCTCGCCTCTCTTCCTTGTCCCCATGACAACTTTTATGTCTGCTGTGTCACCTACAGCATTCAGAGCAGATCTTTGTGCTCGTGGTACTTCGTATCCCCTCACCTTTCTCGCTTCTGCGCCCTTAATGATGTGGTGCTTAACTCGCGCCATTATCTTCGCTGCCGCTCGGTCGGGCTCGCAGCCCCTGTGAGCTTTTGTGCAGGTTTGTGTGATCACAGAAGTGTTCTCCAGACTTTGCTTTCAATCACGTCCCGGAGCGCTGGATGCTTACCTTCAAACCCATGATCACGGCTGCATCTTCAAAGACCCCTTTGTAACGGCAGCGGCTGTGGACCAATCTCTGCACTGAAGCACCAAAAGCTGCTGGTGCATCGTGCACGGTGACCTGGTGGTTCCCAGCCCGAGGTCCGGCAGGCAGCTGTCCCCCTGCAGACCCCCTGTCCTTTGCCCATGGTGTTACGGAAGGAGGACACCCAAGGCTAGCCCAACTTTTCCCCTCCTATTCCTTCATTACTTCCCATCAGAGGCATCGGCCAGTTTTGGACTGTGAGGACTCTCCTGTGTTGGGGTGTCTGTTTACCCTCAGTGAAATTATTCCCTGCCAAATCACCCAGACCTAAGCTGAGACCTTCTGTTGGGCTTCCTCTTGGTGTTGGCCAAGGTGGCCCCTGATGGGAAGCCTTGATGTCCGGAATTGTAGGCTGTGTTTTTGGCTTCTTGTCTATGCTTGCATCCAGCCCCTTGGCCTGCAGTGGTACCTGCTGCCTCCTTATGTCTTCCTCAGGAAGATGGACACTGTCCTGGAGGTCTTTTTTTGGCTCATAATCTCCTGAGCTGTCTCCTTTGTGAAGGTGGGACCCACGTCCCTCTGCCGGAGAGCAGCCACCCACCACATTCCCAACATCCCAACATCTTCCCACTGATGTGCCTCTCCAATGCCGACACCGTGCAGAGATGCATCGGCTTTGGTGCTGTGGATATTACGGACCAGACCTTGTTCTTACGGAGAGAGGGAAGGGGCAGGAAGAACAAAACCTGCTCCTGTGCTGACAGTCCCTCTGTTTCTCTTTGAAATGAGCTGTCGCAAAGCGCCGCTCCCCTGCGCACATCCCCGGGCTAATCTGAGCCTCCCTTTCCTCTGCAGGTGCCCTACTCCTGGTTGTGATGGCTCTGGTCACATAACAGGAAATTATGCATCGCATAGAAGGTAAGATCTCCCTTAAATTATTTTCTCTGTAGCCTCTTTTTGTTGTTGTGTGTGTGCGTGTGGGTTTTTTTTTCCCTGCAGTGGGCAGAGTTGTAAAGTTCTGAATAAAACATTAATGTTACTGACAACTGAAGCCTATTTTCATCCCTTTAATCTGACTTCTCTTTTTTTTTTTTTTGATGTTTCCAGCATCTGATTAGAAGCTCCCTTCAACAGAATAAAAGACAAAGGGTCAGATTTTAGCTGATGCAATGTTCCTGTTAATAATGCTACCTATTTATGACTTCTATTATCACTTTAGAGCATTAATAGCGGAGATCTGAGCCTTCTGTTTCTACAATTCCATTAAACAGCAGAGGCTGTTAGCAGATATCTTCTTATCTAGACACCATTAATTACTGTCCATCTCCCTCAATTTTTATTTTTTTTCCTCTCCTGACTTCTCCTCATGATGTGAGGCTGCAAAGCGAGAGAGATCAAAAACACTGTGCCAAATTCAAGGGAAAGATGACTGAAGCGGGGGAATAGCAAATGCAATGATTCTGCCAGTGAGACAGGCCTTTCTTCTCTTTCTAACCACAGTCTGTCAGGCTGCCCTCGTGCCAAGAAAAGTGGGATCAAGATCACCCCGACAAAGGATGATAAAGAAGACCCAGAGCTGATGAAGTAAGTATGGAGAAGACTCCCGAGCGGAGTCTTGGGCTCCCTCCCCTTTGTCTCGCACAGATTTATGCTGGGAAGCAGCATCCATCCTGCATCCCCCCCCATCACTCGCGCTGCTCAGAGCACTGGAGAGCGCACTGTCAAAGCTTTTTTGCTGGTTTCTGGTGAATTTTTCCCTGATACCCAGAATGGTGTTGCAATTTTGAAATTTGATTGGAAAATTGGGTGTTGGGGAGGTAATGGTGTATTTTTTCTTACTTGTTTTTGCAGATGCAAAAGGTAGGTTGGGGGGACACAAACAGTTCCTCTCCTACCTATGCTTGATATAATTCCTATAAAACCCACCAGTGTTGTGAGTAAATGAGGGTAAAACCCCACAGTCAAGCACAATGTTGCAGGTTTTTGGGCAGTAATGGGCAGGTGAGAGGTGCTTAACTCCCAGGAACACTGTAGAAATGGAAACTATCCAGCAGTGAGTTGGGTCAGGATGTGGTAACCTCAAATAAGACACGTTTTGTAAAGTCTTTGACATGGTTGAATATTCAAAGTAAACAGAAAAAGCTTTTCTCTGCTACCCTGGGCTGAATTTTTCAAAACATCCAGGGGGTCTATTCCTACTGGGAACAGAGATTTTAAACCTCTTAGTCTTCCTCAGGAGCTTTCTTTTGCTGTGAAAGTCATTTGTCCTGATTTTTAGTAAGCATCACGGGCTCAGAGCCACGGGGCTGAAGCAAGGTTTGGGATCTGTATCTTGATGCCTCACATAGTTACAGCATGTCAAAGCCTTTACAACAGCATCAGGGCCAGCAGTGACTCCAGCATCCTACTTTTTGTTAACCCTGAGCATCCCCAGCCTTTCTGGAGCATTTCCACTCACCCAAAAGTGCAGGTGAAGGAAGGGAAAAAGAAATGTGGAAAAACTTATGAACTCCCTTCAAGAGTTCCTGGATACCCCTGAGTACTGGCATTTCTGGCCAAGCCCCTTTGGCTCAGCAGACTTTCCCCAAATGTGTCATTTTTCCACATTTTAGCCCTTGAGCAGGTTTTGCCCGGGCAGAGGTGAACACCTCCACAGACCCGGGTTTTGCTCTGGAGCGGAGGCTGAGCTGGAGTGTGAACTGGTGGGTGCGGAAGAGCCTCATAGGGGCTGCGGGAAACCAGTATGTGCCAGCCGGAGGAAGGGCCTTTAAGAAAGAGATGATATTTGAGCCATCTGCTCTGTTCTTATTCCTCAGTCTACAGGAAGGAAAGCTTCCCAGTTAAATGAGCCGTGTGATAATTAGCAGGAGTTAGCAGAGTTTATTAAAAATTAAGCAGCCTACTCAAGAATCTGGGGGAAAAATACATTTTTTGGCTCAAATACACTAAATTGCTGGTGGTATTGTAATGGGATGTCATTAACCAGTTACACAGTGGAGGAAGGGACAAGTGGACTGTCATGCAATGACTATCCGTTTGTTCCTTTTACCGCAGTCGCAGCCCCCCTGCCCACGGCAGGGGGGTTGGAACTAGATGATCTTTAAGGTCCCTTCCAACCCTAACCATTCTATGATTCTATGATTCTATGATTCTCCACGTTTTCCCCAGGGAGATCTGCCCTGCAGGGCAGGATAAGCCATAGCTTGGCTGATTCATGCCTGCCTCATTTGTCACTGGGACCAGTCGGGGATACTCCCAGCAGGTCCACCAGTATGGTTTCTCTGCAAAGAGGTTGCTTCCCAGTACAAGGAGAAAGGGGATGTTTTCCTAGGGTGCAGCTGGTGCTTGTATAGGAACATGGGATGAGCTGTCAGGGCATCCCCAAGACAACCAAGGGTCTCCCCCCACCCCACCTACATCAGGGGTTGGGTGTCTCCTAGCTCCCACTAAAGGTGTCAGTGCTGGGAGGAAAGAAATGGGGTTGGAGCATCACCAGAGCTGGGATTTTCTGGCTCCTAGAAAGCTGATGCCATACACCGCTGGCCTGGCCTTGGCAGGTCATTTGCAGCAGGACCTTGGGTGTAGGTGCAGGCAGTGCCGGGCAGGCTGCGAGGGTCTCTGTGGCATGAGGAGGTGAAGGCATCCCTCACCATCCCATAGCACGTGCAGCAGAGCAGGAGCAAAGCACCACAGCACAAGCATCCCCTCGCTGCTGCCTCCCCCCAGCCCGGGGAAAGCTCGCGCTCTGCCTCCCGCAGCAAAGCGCGCCCGGTACGGGTGTGCATTAAGGAGCCTTTGGCTCTAAATCCATCCTCCGCCTGCACCAAGCGCCACTTGGAACCCGGCCGAGTTTTGCACATTGCCACCGAGGAGAAAGTCATTCAGTCCCTGTTGTTTTTGTTGTTCATCCTTCAAGTAATTTGCTACAGATGTGATTGAACAGATCACCTCAACCTTCAGCCCAGCCCTGGCATAAAACAGAAGCATCCACGGCTGCTTAATTGATCAAACGCTACTGGTGCTTCCGTTAAATAATAATAGTTAAAAAAAAAAAATTTCCAAGCCAGCTTTTTTGGACAATAAGGCTCTGGTTTATTTTTTAACAATGAAAGTGTAATGAAAGTTAAATTAACAACGTAAAATATGTAATGGTTGGGCTGTAAGGGCTGCATAAATGCCAGGGTTTGTCTCTTTTTCTCTTGCTCTTTTTTTTTTTTATCCCTCTCTTTTTCCTCCTGAGGATTCAGTAATTTGCTTGTGATCATATAAAAGCAATGATGTTATGAATTTACTGAGGATCCTGCTGGCAGGGATATTATAAGTGAATTGTGCTGCATTTGCAGCTGATTAAAATCGAGATCAGCATTTTTCAAATTATCTTGGGAAAAGGCTGGGTGTACAGCTCCCCCCCCATTCTGCTGTCATCTCCCTTTTGTACGAAATATAAACAATCAGGGTAATCATTTCTGCGGTGAAACGCAGCTTGCGATTTTCAGGAGCAGCTCAGCGGATATTTTGCTGGGGAAACTCGAAGTCCCTAATTGCGTTCAAACCGAGGACACGGGGGTTGGTTTTGCCATTTCTTACCTACTTCCACCTCCCCTTTTTCAGAGTAACCTCCCTTGAGTAATAAACTTTTAACTGTATTTATAATTGACTGCCATCCTTAAACAAATGCAAACCACAGCAGAAACCTTAATAGAGACACGGGGCTTTGTCGAGCGGCTGAATTCAGCGCGTATGCCATCAGGCAGCGAGTTTGCGAGCGGGGAGGAGAGAGGTGCCTTTCGGGGCACTCATCCTCTTGGCAATTAGCACAAGTTGTGTCAGCGCTTCCATCACACAGCTCCCGCCCGCCGTAACCGGCTGTAAAAAGACAAGAGCACAGGGGCGGGAGGGCTCATGCATCGCCGTGATGGTAATTCCCACTTTTACCCCCTTGCGAGTGCAGGTGGATCTCTCCTTAGCTGTGGGATGTGAAACCAGGAGGCAAGTGAGGCCATGCTGTGACCACAGGCTGAGGGGTGCCCCAGGGTTTAATGTTCTGTCTGATGGGGTAATGGGCTTGGAAATAACTCGGACACACTCTCTGCAGGAGCAGGTTTGCAGCCTCTCGGTGCACAGGTTGCAGCCTGACCGGCTCCTGGGTCAGGGACTGGTTTTCCAGGAAGCGTTGTGTCCTCATGGGCACAGACAGAGCCCCTAGGTCGCGTTGACCGTTCTAGTGTAGGGTGACAAGGATGATGACCCTGAGCTCCTCAGCGGTAGAGCTGTAGATGCGCAGCGGTTTGGTGCGAGCGTGTCAGCCTTGGTTAATGTCAGGATCCAGAGTCAGGCAGCCCTACCTGCTGTCTTTGTCCTCAATGAGGCACCAAACACATGGTTTGGGACCTTGTCCTGCAAGGGTGAGTGCGATGTGACCCCCACAGTCTTTCCTTCTTGCAGGATTTGGTTCTCTTTGGCTTTTTTGCAGGGGCATTCGTAGCTCTTAATTTCCCATCTGCCATTTCCGTCAACTAAGCATTGACCACATAAAGCCAGATAAATTCCCCAAATGCGGAGGCTGTCTTCCCAGGCTTCCTTGTTCCTGCTCATCCCTAATGTCCTTACATCCCTCTTCATTCCCGTGCTGTAATTTTTGGTAATTCCCTGTGTCCAGGTGTCCAGTTCCTGGCTGTGTTGGACTGGGACACATCAGTGGGAAATACGCCTCTCACCGGAGCGCATCAGGGTGCCCTCTCGCAGCCCGCAGGCAGAAGGAAGGATCGCTCAATGGCTCTTCGTTTTCCTGGAAGTCATTGAAGAACGAAGGTCCAACCTGCCCTACTCCAGGCTGCGATGGCTCCGGCCATGCCAACGGGAGCTTTCTCACTCACAGAAGGTAAACCACAGGGTTGAAATCACCGGGACTGTGAAAAGTTTGTCATGGACGAACCTAACCTGTCTGTAGATGCTGCTCGAGCATCACTCGGCTGTTCATGCAAGCCTGACCTCAGTCAGGTTGCTCCAAGGTTGGAGCTTTCTGCATGGAAGAAAACGCAAAGTTGTTTTAATATTGCAACGGTGAGAGGTGGATTGGGCAAAATCATGAAAACTGATATAAAACATCCTCCATGAGCAAGCCAGAACAGGAGTTGGGCACCCCAAACGGGAGGTTTAATGCCCAAACCAGCCAAACTCATCTCACCTTCCTCACCTGTCATGCCCTTTCTTTTAGGAAAAAATGTGATTTTTAATCTTTGTTCAGAGAAAATTGCTCTTGTTTTATAAATGGGGAGGTTTGTGGCATTATTCATAAAGCAATTTCCTCTGTACCATAAAAAGCTCTTAAAAGAACTGTCTCGCAGCATGAACTCCACCAAATGGTACGTGCTCTTGTTGGGAACACAAGCACCTATAAATACCCAGAGCTTATGAAACCCATTTTTACTTGCTTTTCAGTTTGTCAGGGTGTCCAAGAGCCACTTTTGCTGGGAAGAAAGGAAAACTCTCAGGGGATGAAATTCTCAACACAAAGTTCAAGACCAGCGATGGTAAGGATTTTCAATCCCTTTGCTTTGCAGGTGTGTCAGGGTATTGAGCCTGTACATCATTTTCCTTGCAGACTGGGGAGGTTTCAGCAGCTGCAATTGGGCCACAGCTTATCGTGTGCTGTGAATGCCCATTTGTTGCGTTGCCTGGGTATTGAGGGTGACGTGGCACTGGCACCGCTCCCCAAGTGATGTACTGGGAGGAAGCAGGTGAAATGATAAAGAAGGAGTTTCCATAGTGAATTCCAGGCAAAAAGAATTAATGCTAAAATTGATTTTTTTTTTACCAAATATTCACTGGCATTTTCACAAATCCTTTGCATTCCTTCAGCAATTTTCACCTATTCAGGGCTTTTAATCCCGCAGATATTTCTGGATCTGGAATTTTGTTAGCGACAGCACTTTGCAGTTCCAGTGCTATTACTGAGGTTTCCGTGGTATTTGACAGGGTTTGGGCATTTAACATGAATACTTATACAGTTTGGAATCTATAAATACTTCCACTCTTCTAGAAATATTGCTTTATTTTATGAACCTCATAATTTCTAGTCAAGACATGCATTAGTTTTTTAATGGCATCTTCCCAAACTCAGAACCAGCGAGAGTGTCCTGAGTTTTCAGGGCAATCAGCCTTGCAGGGTGCATGGAGGTGCTGGACTCCAACCACTATGCCATCATTGGCTTTTGCATTTACGTATTGACCTATAAAGTATCATTGAACCGTGATGCTGAAAATTACACTAAAAAATTTAAAATAAAGAAACAGGTGAGGTGTTCATCCTGTTTAGAAAGCATAAAAGCAAAGGTGAGGACTTTGTGAGGGGTGATGTCTATGCAACCAGATGGACTCAAGGCTTTTGCTTTTCCCTGGAATGCTTGCTGACGGCCCGTGACCTTCTCTCCTGCAGTTCTGGAGAACGATGAAGAAATCAAGCAGCTGAACAAGGAGATCAGTGAGCTAAACGAGTCCAACTCGGAGATGGAAGCAGCCATGGTGAAACTGCAGTCACAGGTTTGTGTCCTTGGGTGCGCGCCCAAACCCGGGGATGCATGGCCAAGCCCTCTGCATGGGTGGTGATGGGTGCCGTTGTGTGTGGGCTGGTAACCCTACCGTTCTCCTTGCTCTGCAGATCTCCACCATGGAGAAGAACCTGAAGAACATTGAAGAGGAAAATAAAATTATAGAGGAGCAAAACGAAGCCCTGTTCCTGGAGCTCTCAGGGTTGAGCCAGGCTCTAATCCAAAGTCTTGCCAATATCCGCCTTCCGCACATGGTAAGAAACTTTGACAGTGCTTGCGCCAACTGGCGTGATCGAGGGAGCCGTGCCAAACCCAATTCCCAGTAAGGGTTATGTACAATAAAGAGTGGGAGAGTTTCTCCACATACGCTTATGTGTCCTTTATAAGATCAGTACTTTTGCCTTATCTCTGAAGCTTGCATTATATCTCCCTTTTGTTGTCATTTTCTGCTGATCTCCCTTTGTATCTATTGTTCTGTCTCATTACATCTGGGAGCATTATCACAAAATGGGAAACTTTATCAAGGGCACCCAGTGCCTTTTAGGCTAAGACAGCACAGGCAGAGATCAGGAGGGATTGGATTTCCACGTCAGAAAGATCTTACAGCTCCCATTATAATGCAGGTAGTTTCAATTGCATTTTGAATAGCTGGCAGCCAAAGAATAGCATTCTTAAAGAGAGTGTATTTTGTTTAATTTAACAAGGTCTAACAGCCCACAGCATGTTACCACAGAGTTACTGCAAAATGAAAAGGCTGCATTAAAATAGTAAAACCACAAAAGGCTATTAATTACCTTCTCTCTATTCCCAGGAATGTAATTACTGTTGTCAAATCCAGGTGTGTGGAGGGGGAATTGTGTTGTCGGGGAAGCTCTCCTCTTACAACTCATAAAGACCATCGCAATGATCAGAGGAATGAGCTTTTGATTGAATTTTTTCTGCCATCGGGTTTTTTTTTTTTTTGGGAACCCTTTTCATTGGGGTTTGTATTTAAATTCAGGCTGCTTGGAGAGAAGCCATCCTCCAGCAGAGCAATTTTGGATAGTATTCACCCAGCTGCCTAACTGGCAGAAACCCACTCGCTGAGTGCTTTTCTGTAAAGTATTTGACACATAAAGGTCAAATAAACTGTTCAGAAAATATTTTTTTCAAGGTTTCAGGCAACTCCAATTAAATAAGGCCCACGAGACTTGTATGCTCATTTTATTCCTGTTCTTTTTCTTCCTTCTCCCTTCCTCTTTTCCCCATTAACTCCAAGTTAGATATTTGCAAGGTTTCCACGATGCCCCTCAAAAGCAAAAGCTGTATGGCAGCAGTGTGCTGGTGCAGGCAGACGTGAGCCCAAGGTGACCAGGCTTCTGTCCCAACTTTGCCCTTGATTCCCTCCGTGATGCTTCAGCAGTTCCTGCCTCCTCTCGTCCTCCAGCCATTCATTTCCATGGCTTAATTCAGCCTCAACCCTGTCAAACAGCCTGCACGCGCTTAACCTGATGCTGTTAATAGTTCCATGAGGCCAGTGCATAAAATGAAGGACTCAGGATCAGGCAGGATCAGGGGTTGCACAATGAGATTCCTGTACGTACAGCAGCGCGCACAAAAAGGCTCTGACGTGGAGACCTTTGGCTGTTGGTACATACGGATGATTAATTGCAAAGAAACCTCTCGGCCTCTTCCTGCTCTATTACTAACACGTTTATTTGGCTTGTTTTGGCTGCAGGAGCCGATTAGTGAGCAGAACTTCGATGCGTATGTGAACACGCTGACCGACATGTACACCAACCAGGAGTGCTACCAGAACCCGGAGAACAAGGACCTGCTGGAGAGCATCAAGCAAGCCGTCAAGGGCATCCAGGTTTAGTGCCGCAGGATGGAGATGAGCAAGTGAACAGACTGTAAGATGGAACTTTCCCTCCAAGTATTCAGGTTTACAAGTTAGAAAACTTGTTTAATGAATGAAAAAAAAAAAAAAAGGACCAAAATGTAACCAAGAGGCCATTTCTGAGACATGGAACTGATCGAACTCAATGTTCTCGTTTACGTAACTTTGGACCTTCTTGAGAAAAGTGGGATTTTTCTACCTGGACCACGAGGTAGATCAGGATGGAAGGTTAAATTCTCCAGCAGGCTGTGGTAGCTGGTGAAGAGCAGGCATCCTTCATGAGTCGCCATGCTCTTCCAGAGTTGATCCAAGGGTTAAAATGTTACAAGAACAGGGTCTTGTCTGATCCAAGACTAGCGTATGACTGGCTTAAACCCTCATGTTGTCTATGGTCGTATGTCCAGATCACCTACTCACACATGAATTATGTTCTGTGTTGCTACAAGTGCTGGAGCTGCAAGCTACCTGTAAATCTGAACCTGTGCTGGGCCTCCCAACCCTGAGGTGTTCAGATATCCACTGGGCATGGGAACTCTGAAGTATTATAAAGTAGCTTATTTTTATTTTCTGAAAGAAATCTGAAGAGCAGTTCTGGATCTCCAGTGGAAAGCGCAATGGAAAAAAGGTTCTCAGGGAAGCTTTTGGAGTTTGCAACTACAGTATTCCTTTGTCTGTCTTAAATATGAGAATAGCTATTATGAATAGGCCAATACCAGATATTTCATGCAGAAGAATTCTTTAATGTGTCATGGTCCGGTGTATATGATTTTTTGGAAGTCTGTTTGCTGACAGTTCTGGTTCTTTTCATTCTTGTGATCACCCTTACAGTGGCGCAGTACTGCCAGTCCAGAGATCATACATCAATGCCAGAGAACGTTTGAGATTGCGACGAACAAAAAAAATACGAAAGAAAAACCAACAAAAAGAGAGATGTTAATTGATGGCCAGCAAAGTGCTTACCTACCGTGAATCAGTAGCTGATTTCTTACAGATATCCACAGGGCAGTGGGTATTTTTTTGGTTTGGAGTTCTAAGTTTTGCGCAAAATCACAGTGCAAGCCCCGTTCTGAAAAAAGCAAGGTGGGAGGGGTGGGGTGTGGAAATAAAACCCAACAGAGTATTCAGATATTGGGTATTCTTCCAAAGAAGCAGTTTGTAAGCAGCTCGGTACACGCAGCCCACTGTGCACTTAACGAACAACGCTTTGAATGTCTTTGCGACGCTGCCCTCCAGCACCTGCTCCATCGCGTGTGGAGCCGGACGTCACCCCGCGGGCTCCCTCTCCCCCACCTTCACTCCCCTCGGGAGCTCGCTGCCCCCTGATGCGAACACTTTGGAAGTGGAGGGGGGCAAACCCCCCGAGGGGTCTCAGCGCAGGGCGCATTCGCATCCCTCCCGGCACCAGGCAGGCAGGGCTGGGGAGGAGTGTGCTGACCCATCCTAAAGGCAAGACTGTGGTGTCGTTTTGAGCCCAATCCTGCAGATATTTAGGGAATAATCCACAATTTGGAGAAATTGGTAGAAAGCTTCCCCGTGATTGCAGCGGCCACTGGATCCGGCCTCAAAGCTCACGAGCGACCTGACTTATGTCGGTTCCCCCGTTGAGTTTAGCAGGGAAGTTGGCGTGGGTAGGTCTGCTGACATACTGAAGTGTTTGCAGGATCAGACTCCATGAGTTCACTTATTTTAGAACCCATTCCAAGTGCAAAAATACAAAAGAAAGGGAAAAAAAAAATTGAGGTGTTAAAAACACGATGTTCTTAACATGTAAATAGACTCCAAATTGATTGTGACTGCAATTCAGTTAGTATTTAAAAGTAGAGAAATTGCACTTCCTGGAAGAAAGAGAGGAAAAATAAAAAAGTAGTTAGTTTAATTATCCTGTAAATTATTTAATTTTGGCAAGATGTATGTAATTTATATTTACCACACCTTGTGTTAACTTTTTGCTATTTATTTAACTTTTTTATTTATTAATTTTATACTTATTTTAAACTGGACACCGCACCATAGAAAAGAAGATAAAAGAAGCAAAAAAAAAAAAGTTAAAAATTAAAACTTTTGACCATATAAAATGATATTCCAAAAAAAAGAAAAAAAAAAGAAAAAATCCCTATCTACAACTCCTACTTGTAATTTTGATGCAACCAAGTTATTTTTTATATATTTTGTTATTTATTCTTTTAACGATGGGAATTTTTTTAAAGATATTTTATAACTGAGACATTTTGATAATTTTTGGTTTGGTTTTTTTGCGGGGACAGGGGCACCGGGGGAAGAGAGACTTTTTCAGTTTTTCTTTTCTTTTTCATTCGTATTGTTTCAGGCACTGATAACAGGAAATGAAAATTCTGTATTTATTATTTATTTAATATTTAAGTCGAGGAAAAAAACAAACTGTGCTCTTGTTGTATATTTATTTTGTCGTTTGTGTGTCGGTTATGTGATGACTGAGTATTTGTTTATGTGAAGGAATACTGTTAATATTTAAATAATAAAGAGTCACATTGAAAGTTATAGCAGGCTACATGTTATTCTGTGAAAACCAATACTGTGATCTACTTTCCTCAGGAAATGTATTTTGCAGACAGAACTTCCTTATGTACTGGCAGGGTTATTTCGTAATAAAACCCAGTTCTGTTTGTGACTTTAGTTCCCATGGTCTTTCTTCGAGCTGCTGACAATGTCCTTGATGTGTCCCCAGTGGGCTTCATCCCTGCTCCTGCACCGTGGCTTGGAGGGTCGGCGTGTGCCCCCTTCTTGGGGCTGCGGCCAGGGACTGTCCATCCCAAATCTGCTTCTCCCCACCTACTAAATTGGGGTATTTAGGGGGAATTCAGGTTTGGTACCTCTGAAGGCTTTGAAGAATAAGGAGCTGTCACCATCTGGCCAAGCAAGTGCCTAAAATCCCACTAATCCTGTGATGGGGAGACTCAAAATCCAAAGCCAAGGTATGTACGCATTTATCCAGCTGCTGGAGCCCCTTTCCCAAGGCGGGAGGGCTGCAGGCAGCACTCCTACGGGCAGGGGTTGCACCCTGCACCCCCAGTGCTCAGCATTCCCAGGATTTTATGGCTTCGTGCTCCCGCGGGTGGTGTGCAAGCAGTGGAGATGCGATCGGGAGCGGTAGCGGAGATGCCAGCCCTGGGACAGGACACAGAGACGGATGCTCTCTCCCCCTGGATTTACAAAAAAGCCTTGCAAATTGATCTCTGAGGTTTAACTAAAATGCTGGGAGATGGCTCGTTGTTTGTCAACAAGATTTCCTCACTGACTTCTGCCTGGCTGTGACGTTCACAGGTTACCTTCCTGGAAGAATGGAGCTTTTCCACTGGCAAGAGATTATATTTTGAAGCTGTGGCCATGAAGAGAATTTCTCACCCCTCTTTGCATTGGAGATGTCATTCCTGAAGTTGCCGAGATTCAGTTTTGCTGAGCTGGAGCTGTATCTTCCACGGAGAAATAAGGTAAATCATATTAAGGCCATTTGGAGCTGAGTGAGTTTGGTCAAATGGGAATTTCAGGCAGGTCCATCACCAAGAAATTCAGTGTTCTCATTAACTGAGCTGAGCTTTCCTGATTGTCCTCACACAGAGGCACAAGAGCTGCTGGGCTACAGCAGGAGGGGGTAGCCCGTACCACAAAGACAAAAAGGTGAAGGGCAGAGTTAAAAGGAGCCAAAAGGGTAAGAATTGTAGCCAGAAAAATCTAGAGCAAAGTTTTTGGGCAGAAAGAAGATTTCTTAAAACCTTTCCTCCAGCATGTACATGGCCATGGATTTCATTGGCAGCTTTTTCTGTCCTCATTGGATGCCTGCAAGCTGTCCTGGAGCAGGACAACTGGCAGAGGCTTAGGACAGGTTTGAGGGGTGGTGAAGGCGAGGACATCGCTCCTGCAGAGGCTGCAGTAGATGCTCTTGCTTCAGGCTGGTGGGATTTCAGGGCCAGTGTGGTAGACCAGTGGGTTGCCAGCTCTGCCAGTTGCTCTGCCCTCTCCCAGTCCTTTGCAGAGCATGGAACAGAGGTCACAGGAGGCAGGGGCTGATGAGACCAATTAAACTTTGGCCCCATGGTCTCTCCCAGTTGTGACCAACAGCAAAATTGGGAGTTACTGGGAGCCATGAAGCAACACAGCCACTGCGGAGACATGGAGGATGGTTTGGTTCAGAGCCTTCATGCTGTGAAGATCTCCCCTCTGCTCCAGCTGCTGCCCCAGCTCCTGGCACAGGAGATGTCCCGGGACACAAGCCATCCCGCCTTACCTTCACGTTGAGACAAGCCAGAGACTTCCCTGCAGCACTCCCGGCTCTGCTGAGAGTAATAGCTCCCCCTGCCTCTGCCCGAGCTCTTCTTCCAGGTTCTTCTACCAGCATCTGGCTCTCCTCTCTCTGAGCAGTCAGGTTTAGGACCTACTCTGGATCCCTTAGCCACGTGGTCCCAGGTGCCTGAGCAGAAACACCTTTGGGAGCGAGAATTGCTGGACACCGAGCCCAGCTTTCCCATGAGCCATCTCAGCCCCAGGAGCTGTGGAGCAGGAGCCCCAAGGACAAGGTCCGAGGCTTTGCTGGACGCACGCAGCTTCACAGAACGACAGGTGTTGGAAGGGACACAACGTAGTCGATAGGGTTTGCTCCCCTCCACAAAGGGCTGCACATCTTAAAAGGAGAAAACTAGGTCGACTCTGGTAACGGTTCACCTGAACTGGCTGGCATGTTGTTTTTCCTGAAGGGCACATAATTGTTTTATGGGGGGTTTTGCTAGACTTTGCACTGCCGAGCACTTCCTTATGCCAATATTTGATTATGATGATAGAGCTAATAGACATGCTCACTTGTCCTTTCCTAACGAATTGGCTGTGCTGCATAATAGAGCGCTTAGAGTTGTGTTAAATTGCAGCTGTGGGAGCCATCACTGTGAGATGTTATCTTCTCGGAACTGGCGTCCTTTATCGCAGGGAAGGGAATTGAATTGGTTTAAGATGGTACACTGTCACTTTATAGGTGTGCTTAGGAGAGCTCTTAAGCCTCCTCCAACACGCGTAGGGTGAGAGCTGAACGGCAGAGGAGAGCGGTTCTTTCGC